GTATATCCGTTCGATAATATTTTTATAAGTCTCTCTCTCTCTCTCTCTCCCTCTCTCTCTCTTACTTTCTATTTTTCTCTGCTGCATCGCACGCCTTTTCGAACAGTCTGACATAATTCAAACGATCTGTCAAGAACTCCTCCATTCGAGAAGGAGAGAGAAAAAGAGGGCAATAGAGTACGCACATAAACGGGCCGGCATATCGATTATTTTTAACTCACGGAGATTCGCCTATTCTCGGTAAGTTTGAATGATCTTTCCTCCTCCAGTTTGTTGAATTCCTGAATAGAACGGAGATCTACTTCGTAGGTTCCACGTTCGATCTGTCCGGTGGAACGGCCCCGTTTGACAGGTCTGTCAATATCTACGACGAGAATAGTAATATCCAGCTATTACGAATCGTGCATCTTTTTAGCGTTAAATAACGTTACCGGGCTCAAAGTGTATTTAAAATAACATGATAATACTGTCATCTCTGTCGCAAATTTTTTCTAATGAAAAAGCACACGTTTATAAGCTGTAAATACCCCTTTTTTATAGCAATCGGCCGCGTAAGCACATAAGAAAATTATAAGGGATCACCGCGATATAGATAAACACAAGCCGCGGATAAGCGGAGCATTTTTCTAGCCGTCGTGGATTTATGAAACTACAACCCTCCCCACACACACACACACACACACACGCGCGCGCGCGAGACTCAGGGCTCTATCTCTTTTACACGACTGCCGCCGGCACGTGGAAATATGTGCAGCTTTATCCGACGCGCGATATAGTATTAATTCGTTCCGGCTCCGAAAGCTAATCCAGACACGAGACTAACCCTTGTTCATTTTCTTCGCTCCGCTCCCTAAAATTCGTCCACTCTGCTCTTTAATACGTGACCAGGCTCCCGAATCGTTTGTTCACTCCTCCCCTCCTGAATCTCTGTAGATATTGCTACGGTGTTACTTTATACGGCGTTTTATCCGTGAACGGGTTTCACACACGGGATCGTAGCTTCCCGGCGGAAAAATAACGATTTGTCTTTCATCGAGAACGAAAGTACGCAAACAAAACTATATCGACGGAAAGCCGTAGCAGTCCGCAACATCGCGTGTTATTTAATTTCACATTATACTTCATTTACATCATCGAATTAATTACAAAAAAAGTGATTGCATTTTCCGTCTCGCTTCTCCACTAAACAATATTTTCCACATACCGAAGAATATCCATACATGCATGCATACGTGAGCGTTGAATTCATGAATTCGTTTGATGCGGTTCAGGCCGGATGATAAATAAATCTCGTCAGCTCTCTGATAAGGCCATTACTTTGAGATTCATGGGACTCTGATACTTGATTAAAACTACGAAAAGTCCTTTGACGGAGGGGAGGGGGGTGGGGGGAGGAGGTGGCGAGATCGCCATCGCGCTGTAATCGATCGATCGCCTCTACCAATTACCATCGAGGTTGGCTACCGTTTCCCCTCAGCAAGTTAGCTTCTCCGGCTTCCAGAGGGAAAGAAAGGAGAAACACCTCCGATGATCGGGAGACAATCCGACGATCTGGAGGATCTCTTGATTCCACGCAGCGGCGGCGCGCGAGCGAACAAGCCCCGGGCTTCGTACCTGGGATCTCGCGAAGAAAAGAAGTACCTTCTCTAATAAATTCCATTAGGCATGGGCTCTTGCACGCAAGGGCCCCGATATTATGTTACGCGTTTTGACGTGCGCTCTCAATAGGCGCGCATCCATTACGCGCGGCCCGGTGTGCGCGACAACGGTCCTTCGAGGTCAGGACTCATTCAGGCCCAGGCTCCTCTCTGAACGACGTTCTTTGGAGACCCCTCGAAAGCTCAGTGGGTCCCCTCACGAGGAGGAGGACCCAGTCCGCGCAAACCAGGCGAGTATAATTCGATTCACGGATGCCTTCTTCCTACCCGCGTGCGCGCATCTTTTGTCGACGCGATGCTCATCCTGGATACCGGATAGCGGTGCGCGAAATCGGCCCTGTCTTTTGTTGCTGCTCGAACTTCTCTTCCATCCCCCCTCCTCCCTCTTCACCGATGGTGTGTTTTTATTTATTCTCGTCGACGAGGAGAAGCGACGACGACGAGGAAGACGATGACGACGAAGACGACGAGGAGGAGGAGGTGAAGGAAGGTGAGTCTCTCGCTCCTTCTACACGCTCGAGCTGTTAAAACGACGAGAAAAGGAACGACGACGGCGCGCGAGATCCTTCAAGTAACTGTCGGGACAATACCCACTCCCGCCGATCTATTAGCAAGAATAACGACGTGCCACAGACTCTTCTGCCTCGATGGCTCTGCAAGGATGAATAGACCGCGTGCGCGCTCGAGTTGCGCGAACGCTTCGACTGTAACGAGCGGATATTCTGGGGTTAATAAGTTTCGGCGTTCACGTAGAAAACGATCGGCAAAGCACACCCGGTCGATCCCGGTGTCTTCCGCGAAATTTCTATTAGCTGAAATTATCGCAGCTCTCACTTTCCCTCTCATCCTCGACGTTTTACGCTCCCCTCTTCCTCCCCCTCCGTAATAAGATCGAGGGAATCTCGCGGGTACGTCGTTGCGACTCAATCGTAAAAATGTTTATGCGCGCAGCCGCACGAGTCATAACGCGCGCACACACCGCGCGTCGCGAACGTTTCATATCGCGTTTGTGGAGTTTGAAGAGAACGTTGTTGTATTAATTAAAATTTAATAGCCGTCGATGGGGGAAATATCAATATAAGGATTCGTGTTTAATCGGCGCGAATACATCGGCTACAATAAAAGAATTTCACAGTCGGAATTACGAATATGATTATTATTAATTACGCCAATATATTAATTTGTTCACCAATTATACGATGTAATAATCACAGTTCTCACTCGCGCGTGCTATTAATTATTATTTGTCTGCGCGCTCCAGGCATATCTCCGGCGCGACGGATGCTTTGTCCCGAGAGTGTCTTTTAACTTTGCAAAAAAAAGGGGGGGGGGAGAAGAGAGAAGGAAGGGAAGGGAAAAAGGAGACGGAAACACCACGTCTCACGCCGAAGCATTATACTAGTTTACGTGTCTCCACCTTTGTCGATGGACCATTGCGCAGCATCGGTAGTAATGCCAAATGGCGCTTTCCTTTTTGGGGGAGGGGAAACGGAGGCGAAATGTCGAAACTGGGAAAGTTCAGTCGTAAAAGGGTCGAGTGCTCTTGGTTGAGGACCAAGTCTAGGGAGGCGGGCGGGAGGGAGATCGCGTAAGCGAAGCACGAATCGAAGTTGGTAGCTACGACGAACCGGTGGAAAGACGGAGGGGAGAGGAGCAGGCGATTAGACGAGATTGAGAAAGTCTTTTGTCGTCGCACACGGGATAAAACTTCTTTTTTTATCTCCTCTCTCGCCCTCTTTTTTCATCTCCCACTCCTGCCCTTGCCCGCCCTGCTCTCTCCCGCTCACGCCGCCGCCTCCTGTTGCGCCCTTTATCGTCCGATGGGATATCAGACGACGTTCGTTACGACCGCCGGAAAAAGAGTACGAAGGAATCCGCCTCATTGGCCAGCACTTGATGCAGAAGAAGCGGCTCGAATTTCTCGCCGACTCCCATGCCGGCTCCTTTTGGGCTTTTCAACCTGACCGATATAGCGCTGGAAGCCCGGCCGCTCGAATGGTAGCGGCGATCGATCGACATAAACTCAGCGAATCAGTTAACGAATTATTACCTGTCGTCTGTTTAAATAAATGGATGATTAGAAACACATTCGACCTGTCGAGGTTCATGAGTAATTTTCGAAAGGTCACACTTCCTCATGATCGATATATCGGTATGCTTCGTAATACAATTTTTTTCCCTATTCTCAATAAAATAATAATAACAAAGGCGTAAACACTGGGGGTAACAAAAGCGCTCGATTCAGCCCCGTAAAGCTCGCTAGATATCCCAATTCTGCTGATAATCCGCCGACAGTGTTTTCGCGGGAATTACGTCGTAATAAATAGCATAATAGCCAATAACGTAGGCGAATATCCCGGATATCGGGTTTGGCTCTTCATTTTTAATATCTCACGACGATTTTTTCAATCGGCGACACACCCGCAAATCCGTGTCACCGCCTCGCGTCTACGCTAACGCTCGAGAGCGAACTTCGGTCGGCTTTGGATCGGGGGAAAAAAAATGCCTGATCACTCGCGCGGATGTACGCGTGGCGGTTCTCGTCCGACACCCAACATCCACCCCCGACGGCCGCGATGATGGCCGCCGCCGCGTGTGAACCGTGCCTAATCGTGAGATCGGCTCAACCCTTCGCCAGATGAAAGCCCAGGCTGGGGCCACCTGTCCTGGATTACTCGTGCGAGCATTATAAGCCTCGAGACTGCCAGCCGCTCTAGAACTAGGAGAATCCTCGCGCCGACGTGTCGCATCGGCGCTTTTCTTACTAACGGCTACAGCCGACTCTGCTTTTTTTAAATGGTCCCTACTTTTAAAGGGACCCGTAGTTTTTATAACCGTTCACCGTTCTATATCGATACCAGTCAATCGACCAATCGTCACTTTATCAGATCACTTTATTGATGAAAACGGTTGGTGCGAAAGGGATTATCTTCTTACTTCTGAAGAGATGGCGAAATCTCCATGAATAAGAAAATATTAAATTTTAATTTATCTTTAATGGCTATTTCAGAGCTAAAGATCTAACATTAGAGAAATTATAAGGGTTTCTTATTATTATTGGAATATTTTTCTTCCGTTTCTTCGTTTTTCTTCTTCGATCTTCAGCGACACTGATTTCATTTTCGTTTGCCAGTACACAGAGCTGATAAAAAACACATACAAAATGTAACATAATAAGAAACCTATCCTCCTACATTTCTAATGCCATTATTCTTAAACTTTTCGAGGAATTCTCGTCAACTTTTTTCACTGTAGATCACGAAATACATAAATGCGACCGTGTTAACAGCACCTGCGCGATCGAAGGTGCGACTAAACATATTTGTTCCATTGTTGTTGCAGGGTGTTTGTTGGACAGTTCGGCACCGCGGGGCCCGCCTGATGTGCCACCCCGTAACCCCGCAATGAGCCGGCTCAACGGAAGACTGCCAGGAAGTCACGCAGCGAGCGATCACGAGCGCGATCCCGATCTCGAGCCATCCTGTCTCGTACGCACCCCATCCGGTAACTTCTACAATATACCAAGTGAGTCCGCTCAAACAGGGATCGTTAACACGTTCCCTGCCGGACCGTTTTTTGAAGACTTTCCGTTCAGGCCGCGTGGGGCGTATGCGCCCCACGCTTTACACTTGTATTATTTTGTTTCTAGCGAATGCCTTACAATAAATAAAATGCCGCAAAAATCATAATTATCAAGGAAAGGTTGTATAGTTTAACATGCATAACACAACAAACGAATAAATTTATTTTTCTAGGAATTAATTTAACAAATACCTGGATGAACATTACTAAGCAAGTTGCATCCTCACATATAAGTTTTTTATCATACCTACATCAGTTCAAAATATAATATTTTAATTAAATTCAAGTTTGTATGCAATTACAAAGGGATGTTACGATGAACTTTGTTAAAGCATGCCATACATAAGTGTGGTTTATCCACACAACTATCACAGAATGTTCCAACTTTTATAGTACAGTTCCTTGCAGATTTGGAACCAAATTTTTTAACATTCCTTTCGTAACAAATTTTACACCGCCTTCTTATCGAATTAAAGTGGCCTTCCTTTTTTTTAATTTCGTGTCGTTTTCTTCTTTGTTCAATTCGCGGAGAATTATTATTATTATTACACGACATCAGATTCATTGCTAATGTTTTTCGGAATTCGACGCTTGTTATTTTTCGGTTTGTAAGACTGTTATATATAACCCATGAATTCACGACAGCTGTGTTCAAGCAAAGTTCAAATACAATTTTTTTATACCACTTTACCGATTTTCGTAGAGGACTGCAATATGAAGCCATTTGATCGGAAATATCTACAGAAGACTTCCCTTCATTATAATCCACAATAACCTTCGGTTTTGTAACAATATTCCCCCTTTTCTGCATAGTCACAGTTTCATTAGAGTGTTTCGTTGATAATAGAAGAACATCACGCTTGTCCTTCCATTTTAGTATTGTCAAACCATCATTGCTTTCCTTAGCGATATATTCATATCGCATTAATTTTTTTGAAAGTAGGTCTTTTGGAATTCCACGGCGATTTGATCGTATTGTTCCAACCAGATGAGTGTTTTGAGCAACTAGCTTTTTGGCTAATTCAATACTTGTGTACCAATTATCGGTACATATTGTATGGCCTTTACCAAATATATTTTTGCACAATGATAGAACAACATTGGTAGGCGTTGTTTTCTCTCTATCTATTTTTTTCCCACAATAAATTTTGAAGGCGAGCGTGTATCCCGATCCTGAACATAATTTAAATAATTTGATACCATATTTATGTCTTTTTTGTTTTATATATTGTCTGAAGACAATGCGACCTCGAAAAGGAATCAGAGATTCGTCTACGCAAACAATTTCGCCTGGTTCAAAATACTTTTCAAAGTTTTCATTCAACATATCAATGACTGGTTTAATTTTATACAAGCGGTCATTTACATTTTCCTTGTCATTGTCGTTAAAATGCAACATTCGTAGCAAAAGTTCAAACCGATTTCTTGATATTATTGAAGGTGGAAGATTCTGCGAATATGCTGGATCTTTAGACCAATACAAACTTATTTCTGGAAGTTTTACAATTCCCATCCACATAATAAGTCCAAAAAACCGTTTTATCTCGTTTTTGTCTGTTGCTATCCATTCATCTAATCGATACGATGTTTGTTTAGATAGACATTGTTGCGCATACCGATTCGTTTCTGTAACGACAAGATCGAAGAATTCATCACTCATAAACAAAAAATAAATATCTTCCGGTTTTTCGTAAGTTTGATTGCATGTTTTGAAACCAGGTGTACCAACGAAAGGCGTAAGGCGCGGTTGGTTTCCGATGGGATCACCCCAATCTATATGCGAAGTAGTCATATTGTTTATAGAAGGTTCAGTATTTTCGTCTTCACTACTGGATAAAATGCGAGTGCTGCGTGGAAAAAGGCGATGAAAAGGTATGATTTCATCTGAACTGTCTGAAGAATATTCAGAAAGGTTTCCTCGTGCAATCCTAGGGCGTTTTGTTAAAATTTCTGCGAGTGGCACGTCAGAATCATCACTAGAAATACTGTTGCTGTGTGAGGCCATATCTGCTTATAAGGAGTAATTATTGTAAAATTTGGAAAAGGTTTGAAGAAGAAAAGGCGGGAAAAATTGCAACCTTTTGTTAATGCAAAATATCCGAACTTATAACACTTAAATAATATGTACGTACCGTATTTCCTTCGTTTAACACACTGAACTATAAATCAATCCCAGCTTCAGTAAAGTAGTACGTATTGTATCAACGACACGCGAATAAATGACTGATCGCAGTGCGAGGAATGCAGAAAACAAGTCACGGCGAAACAAAATTGCCCACCACGCCGCGTGGGGCGTATACGCCCCACGATTAAATGAAGGCATGAACAGTAGTACTAAGATGCCCGTAATCGACTGCATATTCAATTTTTAAAAAATTCTTCATTTTACAATGATAATACCAAATGGCTTGAACGGAAAGTTCAGCGTGGGGCGTATACGCCCCACGCGGCAGGGAACGTGTTAAGTCTGATTTACTGGGAAGGAGAAACGGGAGCGGCAGCCGTCGAGAGTACGTGGGAAACGGTTTTCCCCTTTCCCCACGAACATTTTGGCCAATTTAAAATCGAGTCGCTCTTTACAAGGCGAAAATTCGAGTAACGTAGTTTTCCTTCGCAATCCTGTAGATTTCGCGCCCAAATTTTCAGATATAATCGAGAGAGAGAGAGAGAGAGAGAGAGAGAGAGAGAAAAGCGAGGATGAATCACGTTTCAACACCCACGAAATTTAATTTTCTAAACTCTCGTTACATCTAATTGCTCGTAGCTCGAAAAAAAAAGAAAAAGAAAGAACTCTATATCAAGGTCTTCATAATTTTATCAAGAAAATTATCAAGCGCACGGATTGGTCAAAAGAATTCGTGGGCAATAGTTCCCGTTACCACCCTGTACATTTCCCCTTTCATCTTCTGTCGGAAGCTCCCCGTGCTCGCCATTACTTTAATTAAGTAGACGGAATATTGACCTGAGAAAACTGCTTTTTTCTTATCTGGTCAGCCATTCACGTTACGAAAATGAAAGAGGCTATTTTTCGTAGCTATCCTCGTACCGCCGTATCTCCCCGTAGGATCGATTCGCTATCTGCGTGCAGACGCGAACGCGCGAGACTCTTCGACGCTTTAATAATGCCGGGTGACTGCCGAAGTATCTATCCCAACGGAGCGGCCGACTTAAACGGAGTATCTCTCTGTATCGCGTTGATGTTTGCTTTCCGGCAAGAAAAACAGGTCCTCAGCCTGTAACAGCGCGAATAGGTATCTTGGAAAGTAACCGCCGGCGGGGTGTGTCGTGCGATAATGTGACCGATGTTTGCGCCGGCTCGTCGAAAGAAGGCTTAGCCAGGGACGGCGGATGACATCTTTGACAAGGGTATACGTTGTAATCATTAGAAACCAATGGGAACCAGCGGGGGAGGAGAGGGGGAGTCGAACGAAAGGCGCCAATAATTTTCAAGTCCTCCCTGCGATATCGGCGCGCTTCATCGTCGGTGTTCTTGAAAGATCTCCCGAAAGCCTCCATATCAGCATCCACATCAACCGTTCTTCTTTCGCGAACTTTTCGTGCGCCCCCCTTAGCACGAAAGATATCTCTCTGGCTTTATCTTGGCGAAGCGCTACGGTATACGTGATAGAGCCCGGACGGTGCTCGCGTGTTTCGCGTGAGAAAACGCGGCTAGCTCTCGTGAAATAAAAGTTGAAAATAAAAGTCTGGACTTGTCGGAGGTTGGAGCAGCCTCGAGACCAAACTTGACTAACAAGCCGAACGATTCTCAAAATTTAGTCGCCGAATCGCTCCGCAGAGAGGCCGGATCGCTAACCCGGCTTTCCCCTCGAGTTCTTCAAACTTACGCCCGCATAGGCAAATTAATTAAAAATTTAATTTAAAAGTATCGTAACATGAAATAACACCGCGCGCCGGCAGCGGTAACTTTTTTACTGGGCCGAGAGAGAATTTTCAAACCACTCCGGTATCTGGGGAAATAATTGAAGAATCAATAGAGAGATCGCAGAAACGCCGTCGAGTTTGTACGGCACACCGGCGAAATGTCGTTGAATTAAATTATATCGGGGGATACCGCAGTTTTTCATCGCAGTTTCAATCGAAGTTTATACGACGAGCGAAGAGAGAGAATATTTATGCTTGGTTTTTTACAAAAGTTGGAGTCCGGCCGAAGGAAAACGCGTAAAAACAAACCGGCGATCTCTATGTCGGGGTCAATGAAGACGCTCGAATTCGCGGCGAAGGACATCCCTCGATGGTTTCAGTTGTCCTTTACCACGCCGCTGAACGTACTTGAGAAAAGAAAAGGGCGCCTTGCGGCGACATTTTCCGAGGCACTTCAGCGGCGCGTGATATCGACTACACAGAGAAAACAACAGTGAAATCTAACCTTTTCCCCGTCTAAAGTATCCCCCAGTTCACCGGCAACTCGGAAAGTGTCCGGCACAAGCACCGGGCGCCCGGTGACAAGTTCCTTTCTTGTTTGGCTCGTCGTAAAGATTTTTCAAATTCCACGCTCCACGACGCCCGAGACTGGCTTTTCGTGGGATGTGTCACTGTGTGCGTGCGCACAGTTGTTTGTTATATGTGTGTGTGTACCTTTCGTTTTTCCAAAGCAAACCGTGAAACGGAGCCTCAAAGGTCCTCTCGAAAACATGCGACCGCATCGCCGATGATTTACGATCCTTCAACTTATTGACTCGCCAGTTATGACACACTCTGACGCTTATGACCGCCTGCATAATACTTAACTTCGTTTATGGAATTCCGGAATCTTCCTTTTTAGCATTGCCGCCTTGCTCGCCCACCAGACTCACGTTAGAGCCCTTTTCGGACTTGCTCAAGTATCTGCTTATTTTTCTTACAATTAAAAATTTTGATCTAATCCTGATCTAATCCTGTGAGATAAACCATCTGAGGGATTTTTGCGCGCACAAAGAAAGCAAGCGCATTCTTTCGATGTTCTCTGCGGGTTGACTCGCTTTTCTTTCGCTCACCTTTTGAAAAGGAATTAGGATACACTTGGGAACGTTAACATCCGAGACAGTGTTATTGAGGAATTAAGATATTCCTGGCGATAATAACATCCGGAGCACTATTGTTAAATTCGCAATAGCTTTGAACAAACCCGAGTCGAAATTTTAGTTTTGTGGTAAGCCTGCAAATATTTTACTGCAATTACAAAAATCCGAAGGTCATCTTTGTTTTATTAAATGTAATCATATAGTTTCTTTTTTTTTTTTTAACACAAACTAATTTCTCTGTATTTATTCTGCGTATAAAAGTACCTAAGTAAGATCATCGAAAAGTGAATACTTCTCGAGATATTTTATCTTTTATCCTGATATTTTTCTGTACAAGATATGAAATATTTCATAAAGCATTCACTCACCGATAATGTCACCTCAATATTTTTGTACGTAATAATATGAGAGAATTCGATTACTGATATTAATCATTGCATCTCGGTGCATTGATGCGTTTACAAAATACAACGGATTTTTAGACAGATTTCTATGTTTGCTTACAGCGATCGATTTCACCTGTCATCCTGCGTAGAAAAGTGTTAAATTGGTGTTATCGAAAAGAGAATACTTTATGAGATATCCCATATCTTGAAAAGTATCGGGATAAGATATCTCGGAAAATATTCACCTTTCGATGATCTTACTCTACGGACATTTATTTATTTTCCTTCTTTTTTTTGTCATGGTGCAATAGAGGTCCGAATAGGTCAGTTGCTCTTCCGGTTAAAAATTTTACGCGCCACGGAAATGTTTCACCGACGCTGCGAGAGAAAAAAAAATGTAAACGCAACAATCTTTCAATTACTTCGTTATAACTTTCACCAAATATTTATATTCAATTCTCCGTAACAATAGGTGTTGCGCATGACACGACGTAGGGAAAAAAAAATTTCGAAAATCTCGTTACTCGAGCGACATCGAGGCAGTACCCAAGGCGCGGTTTCAACGCTACGTGATACTCTCGACTTCGATCACGATCACGGTGCGATTCTTCGCACGGGGAGTACTCCTCGCGAGCGCGCATCATCGATGGTAAATCACCGGGCTGGCCGCCAATTAGAGCGAATTCTCGCCGGCGAACCGCCGATTAGCAAATATTCCCCTCTAATCCGATCCCGAGCGACAAGGGTCGCGTCTCGTGCGCCTAAGCAACCCGAGGAAAAATAAAAGCGATGCACTACCCCGCGGGGAGCGTGGAGCATCCCCGAAATCACCGTAATCACGGATATCTGCCTAAATGGCATAATCATCGGATTTCGGGGCAGGGGCGGCAACACACCTGCAATTAGCAGCGGTGGGGTCAGCTTCGGCCGGGCCCTCGTCTTCCCACGCCCGCATTTTACCGCTCACCAGGTATGCGCGAAGGCGCGGAACGGGTTCCCCGTAAGAAGACAAAAGGGCGCTGAAGTAACGAGCCGTGCGTCGTCTTCTGCTTCTTCGTCGCTTTTCGTGTTAAGCGTCGGCCGAAAAAAAGGGTCTCGTGGGCGCTTTCGAAAGGGGGCTAAGTGTCAGGAACAACAAAGCTAGTTCGAACGCGAACGCCGCGCGCTTTAAACGTAAACGTGTAAAGTGGCTCATTAATATTCAAAACGCGCTGGGTAGCACTGCCGTTTTAAATGCGCGTCGCACCGCCGCGCGAGAGACCGCGTATTTCGCCGCGCGCGCGCGCGCACGCGCGCAGATACAGCCGCGAGTAAAACTTTTAAAATTAATTCGTGGCTTGTTTCAAATGTAAATATGTTTCAGCGTGCTTATTTCTATTTTATCAGTCATTATGTCAGCGGAATTGAATATTCAATCCTGTGATTTTTCGCGATATTCCCCGCGCGAGCCGTGAGTGTGTGTCACGCTAATTTTTACGAGCGGGAAATAAATTTGAAAAATAAAGGAGATAAAAAACGCGCGAGCACGTTCGAGCCGTTTCGTCGGGAGTTGCCGTTTTGCCGGTAGTTAAAACTAGCTCGAATATATTTCGCTGCTATATCGCGGAGGAGCGTAATAGAATTCGTGCCCACAGCCCCGGTTCCTGAAACCCCTCCCTGAAACTTGTACTTGAGGTTCTCCCGGGCTGAGGATTAACATGTTAATACCACTCGTACATATTGTCGCGAGTGTGACCCCTCGAACCACCTATCACCGGTACCCACCATCGCGACCGTTCACCAACGAGTACACGAGATATACCACTTACACAGGATATTCCGCTCCTCGAGTTTCGAGGTGGCACACCTTTTGAGAGAAAGAGAGAGAGAGGGAAAAGGAGGAATTTCAGTTTCAAGTGCACTATGGAATTAGCCTCACTTTTAGACAGATACCTTTTCACCTGCAATATTTTCAGTCCGTTTTTAAGGCACACCCCCGCCTGGTCCTGGTGGATTTTCTAAAAGCGTTTCAAGAGAACTCAAGGTGGCGGCCGTCCCTTCGCGCGAGTCTTCGTCTCTCGTTGCTTGAAATTCAAGCCGAAACCGCGATGAATCATATACTTATCGATTCAACAGAAGCCTCGGCCGCCGCCGCCTCACTTTTTCTTTCTGTTTCACTCACACGCGGCGTAGAGCCCGCGCGAATGGAAAGACCGACGTAGCTCGCGTCTGGCATTACAAAGAACGTCTGGCCGTTCACTGGGAAAAGACCCGCGCTGAAAATGAAGAATCGACACTATTGTAATTTATTTAACGGCTAGCCACGCCTCGCGCTCACCGACCTTCGCTCGTAATTATACGTTCCGAGTAATCGGGAATGCTGCGTGATAGGATAAATGTAAAAAGGAGAGGGCTGTCATTAACCCGTCGAATCGACGGACATTTCTAATTCCGTCAGATTGATAGAAACCCCCGTGTCAAAAATTGAGTGCGTGTTGTCTATTAGGAATACTAACGATATCATCTGCCGTGGAAAATCAGTTAGCTCGATGGAACACGTAATCCCTGGCGCTCCTGTTAATCAAAAGGCCGTTTTTTTCTAATGTAGGAATAACCCGAGTACAAATTTGCGTTCTATATTAAGTTCAATTTAGTTCTACATTCAGGTCTTTAAAGGTCGTTTTATCGTGCTCCTTTAATACTACACTGAAAAAAATTGCTGTTCAAGTAAATATTTACTAAGAAGTAAACTGGAGTAGTTTATTTTATTTTATTTTATTTGGATTAAGTAAATATTACTTGAATGTAACACTTTGTTTCTTTTAGTCTTCTATTCTAATAGTCCTTAGCAAATATTTACTTGAGCGCAGCAATTTTTTTTCACTGCACAAATGAGAAGTTATTTCCATTTTCTCCATTTGAAAACTTAAAGACTGTAGAATTTAAAATTTCGTCTCGGGAATACGTTACAGAATTGATCATTCTATAATCTGCGAATGTCTGATAAAAACATTGTATCCTTCATGATCTTGGTATCGATGGTTCGATGAACGCTTAAACGCGTCTCTTATCAGAAAGGCGTAAAATTTAAAGGATCCCAGCAAATAGGATTTTAAAGACAAGATAATAGAGAAGTCATTTCTTCAAATTTACAACACAAGATGGTCTTATGTCGCAAAAAAAAAGACACAGTTTTTTAAAGGCATTGTTATCAATATATTAAGCATGAAACTCGAGAAAAACAAATTGTAGTATAATCATGTCCTCGCGCGAAGATCCAAGCTCGTCGAGAAAGCCACTCCGCTACACCTATTTCCGCATTTTTACGATACATACTGCATAATGCGATTTCGTATGCATTACGTAAAATGTAAACTACACCGCGTTGAATTGCATTTACATCTTGGCGGCGGAAAAACTTGACGGGACGCCGTTTCCCACGAGAAATTTCGCCGATCTGTCAGACGCGATATACATATATATGTATATAACAAACTATTTTCATCGTGCCGTTTCTTGCTGCTTGCAGAGATACCGAAGAATGAATACAACAACAAGAATCAGTCCACGGGGAACAGTCCAATAAAGGTGGAACTGCAGAACAACATGGACAGGTAAGTAAGAACCGCTGTGTACGCCACGCGTTTACCGCGAACACGCTTTCTCTCCTTTCATTCGGTCGAGCGCGACGAGTCGGCCGAATTGAATGAATCGAATCGATGGGAGCGGGAGCTGCGGGAACTCGTGTTTCGAAAACCGACGTCGATGATCGAAACGAACGAGCCGTGGCCGACTTCTGTCGCTACTTCGCTTCATTCTTCGGGTCGCGACAGGACGTTCAAGAGCCTCATGAATCATCCATTCAGTCGACTCGTACAATGAGAGTCAATGTTTGTCCGTGGATTGTCATCCCTTAAGAAAGGCTCGCCTGCGCGTGACGCTCGCCGTGAAAAACGGCCGGCCCTTCAAGTCCTTCCGAGGCATTCGCCGCAGACCCTCGAGCGTGTTGTTGAAATTTGCAAAACGGTCGCGAGACGTACGGTGTATTTACGGAGTCGGTAAACGAACTTCTTTCCGGATGGGAACACGATGGAATTCGATAACATGCTATCTTAGGAACGGACGGATTCGCGAACTTCTCTGCGAGCTCTCACGCTCAGATCGAATGACATCTGGCGCATTTGGAAGTTGGTTAAATTATTTTAAGAAACTGGGTAACGTCGAAACGACACCGAGAATGAAAAAGCTAATTGGTGTTAATTCTTGAATTGAAATCCCTTCCCAACAAGTTTGAGCGTTATCGCTGAATAATTTAGAATTACCTCTATTTCACCTGTTTATTATCGTTTTTAGATATTTGGAAAGTACGAAATACGTAAGAAATATAAAATAACTCGATATTTCCCACCTTGTGTAAAATTAACGTTCCATTTATCTCTGTCTTTATTTATTTTTATCTTTATTGAAAATCAAAACAATACGGTATAGTGGTGAAAATGTAAATGTACTAACACCGAAGAGCTAAGAGTCTGAAAAAAAAGAGAGACGAGTAGGATATTCCAATATTGAAACTTTGTAACGAATGAGTCAAACATTCGGTTGAACATTTCGACGTCGGGTTGTAAAATAGAGAATTCACAGACCGGAAGCTTCACTTGGAGAACTCCAAATCGTCCGTTTCTATCTGGTTTGCACGATAGAAAAAAGAAAAGAGAGAAAGAGAGAGAGAAAAAGGGAAATGCGTCCAATCCGCGTAGAATCAACAGCTGGAGAAAGAGAAGAGAGAGAGAGAGAGAGAGAGAGAGGACCCGACAGACGTCGCCTGGTTCTCGTTTTTTTCATTATCACGCGGTGCAACGAAAGCAAACGGCTTTCCCGCTCGCGCTTCAGAATCCGACGGTTGCGTTTAAATATTTTGGTTAGACATTTGTGAGTTACTTGGAAGCGGCGGCAGCAGCGTTCAGTACAAACACACTCGAGGGCTGCTGCTTTTCCACCGGGGGTATGTAACGAGCGAGAATACATTACGAGTTTCTCGACCGCCGTCGAGGAAGAGAGAGAGTTGGAGAGAGAGAGAGAGCTGGAACTCCATACTCTATACCGAAATTCGCGAGTTCGACCGAACGTGCTTGAAAATTGTATCGAGGTGCCGAATTCCTCGAGAGTGTTTCTCTAATTACAACGGCGCATCGAGAAATTATGTAACACCGTAGTAACGGAGACTCGGTCGCGCGGTTTGTATGGACGGGTGTCTAACTTTTCCGCGGGTCAAAATCGACGGGTTAAAGATTAATTTCGGCACGTTGGGAAGCGAGAGAACGGTGAGCGATAACCGTTGACGCGCGTATGTCGGATAAATTTGCCGCTCGACCACCATCACAAACACTAACAAATAGCGCGAATTAAAATGCAGCCGATACAGATCGACCTTCATTGATTTTCAGAGTACCTTTACCTTACGGGCACGCCCCGTCGATGATCCCGATGAGGAGACAAAGCATTCGCTGCCATTTCCGCAAGGGAATCGATTGGTGCAGCTGGAAATTAATTTCCATAATAATAATTATGCTCCTGCTCTGCCTGACGGCAGCGTTAACCTACGTCGCAGGTAATTATTCGCATATTGCAATTCCAAACACCGGCACTCTTCTTTGCCACATCGCGAGTTTAACGCTAAGCATAATTTCAAATCTACCGGAGACCGAAGTTTATTTTCACAAATATATTACAGACAAACGGGAGAATTTTCAGATATTTAAAAAAACGTTCGAGAAATACGCATGAGAGACGTCCCAACTCTCTCGCACGTTTCTTCTCACTAAGATTCTCCTCACTCGTTTCTTCTCAGTAAGATAAACCGTCGAAGTAACACGACGCAACATCGCAGGCGGTGTAACTTCCAATGGCGATAACACAACACCGCGCTCGACTTAATTAATCCCACATTAACGCGGTGTCCTGTTTAGTGAACTGGTCGTACCAAAGCACGAAGGCGTGCACAGTCCTGGTGGGCGAGAACACCGACGCCAAACCGTCGTCGAGCGAGTCGAACAAGACGTCCTCGTCGTCCGCATCGACGTCGTCGCAATCGAGCGGCAGGGCGCGGCAGCAGTCGCCGTCAGGAGGTAGTATTAGCACATCGGATAGCATGTTGTTAGATGGTGTATACAGCCGCAAGCGTAGGGACACGTTTAACGAGCATGCGTTGCCGCACCAAACTGTCGCACCACCACCCTCCCATGACCCCGAAGAGCTGCCCTTGACCCCGGCCAGCACTGCGGTCGAAATCTCAGGGTTCGGGCAGCGATCGTCGGTCTCGTTGCATGAGGAGCATTCTGGTAAGGCTGTGCATGATCCGGAGGTGCATGCGGACGGTCGAGGTCCGGTGGAAGGAGCTGTCGACCGTGCCGAGGCCGGCGAAGACGCCACGGCGCCGGAGTCGCCGGGATCGACGACTCCCTCGCTTCTCGTCTCCTCTCCTACTAACCACCCGCACGATCGTTCGACTCATACCACTGTCGCTGTCGACCTCACCTCTTCGTCCTCTGTCAGCTCTGTCTTCCCGTCCGTCGGCACGTCGCCGCCGTTTCTTCCCGCAGGATTCCCCTCGGCCGGCGCTTCCGGCCGCGAGCTCCCGACCGTCGCGACGCCACGTCGGGAGGAGCACGTTGCCTCGCCGAGTGGGCCGATTGCGAAACTTGGCGGCGACGCGGATTTCGACGGTGTCGCCGGTAACGCCGGCACGTCCGAAAGTTCCGACGTTGCCGAAAGCAGCGACGGTATCGCGGCTACGACGTCTGCATCCGGCGTGGGGAAACTTCGCCCAGATAGCGGCGGCCACGAAGTACCGCCGATAGTCGGCGGAACTGCGGGGAACGACAATAACGTTCGCGCTGCCGATTACAGCGGCGATGCAGATCTCGCTGATAGCACGGCTGCAACGGAGGACCCACGCTCGGATGAACCGACGGGGAATCAACGAGCGAGCGTAAGTAATTCCGATTGGAACGGCTCCTCCGACGAAGCGTCGACACCGGCAGAAGCGCAGCGGGGAGGGGCGAACGTCAGTGAAGTCTCGCCGGATGCGAGCTCGAGCGATCAAACGACGTCCGACGCACCGTTGAGTAAGAACGAGGACGTGGTGATCGAGGTTGCGCCCGAGGAGACAATTAGCTGGAACGATGGCCCGAAGACGATGGACACGGGATCGGCGCGTTCCCAGACGTCGGGCGTCGTGAAAGAAACGCGAGAGCTCTCCCGGGAGTACTCGTCGTCCGAGTCGTCCGAGTCCAATATCGTTAGGGCCGCCGAAGCTCCGGAGGAACCCCAACGAGACTATCCCGTGCCGATCTACAGTTACGGGCAGGACGAGGTGGAGATCGTCAACCTCCGTCACAAGGAGCGGCCGGTCGCGAGGACCGAACACCATCCCGCTAAATCAGCCGCTCCCGGAGTCTTCGGTAACGACGTGAGGACGAACACCGTGTCCCGCAAGGAGCGTGACAAGGACGACATGCGGGTCATCACGAGGGAAGGAAGCGACGAGGAGTTCCTGCGGAAGTTCGAGGAGAATTTCCGCGCGGCGGTCCCCGAGATCGACGAAAACTCCGCCGAAAACTCCCCGCCGGTCAAGACCACCGCGACGGATGGGCCGCACGACACGGTGCATGATTCATCGGGCGACGCATCACCCTCTAACACAGCCAATGTCCGATCCGGTTCGCCGATAACCCAGCGGGTGCAGATCGTCGAGGTACCCGTGTATCGCGACGGCGACTCGTCACCCCCGTCACCATCGTCTTCATCCTCATCGTCGTCCGCTTCGTCGCCCCACCGGGTGCTCATAAACATAACGATCGCCAGCGAGGACTCGCCCACTGCCTCCTCGAGGCCTCTGTACGTCCTGTCGGTGTCCGTGCCGACGGAGGTCGACGCGATCCGTTCGTCCGGGATTAACATCAATCAGGCGCAGGTGCACGAACGGCCTTCGGAGATGCCCGAAGCGGCGAGCATGCTGAGAAAGATCGCCGCTAACGGCGAGTCGATAGACACGCTCGATGCGATGCGATTACCGCCGCCGCCGCAGCCACCTGCCTCGCCACCAGCGCCGATCTGGGCCGGTGGCGAGTGCGAGTGCTCTTGTCCGTGCATGGGCTCGTCCTCTGACGAGTGGGACAACTTTTCAGAGTTCGACGAGAACACCAACGTGGAACAGGAGGAGGAGGAGGAGGTCGAGCGACACGCTAACTCCACGACGGAGAGATCCCGGGAGTCCGGGGGAACGGGATTGGGGGGGAATCGGGAGGAGCAGCGCGAAGAATCCGCGGCGAGTCCGCCAGCGAGTTCGGTAAGAAGCGGGAACGTGACCAGCACGGAAGAGTATCACTCGTCGACGATGCTCGACTCCGTGGAGAATACCGGCGAGACTACGCCGACTCCCGGACCTGAAGTAAGCACCGACGTGTGGGCTTGCCCCGGAAGCACTCCGCTTCCCCCAGAGCCCACTATACTGATTCTGGAAGGTGAGGCCTCGTTTACGTTGTTTCTATCTGTCTCTTTCCGTCTTTCGCGCGGCTTGATCTTCTCTCCGCGAATCAATCTTTTCTTTTCTCCGGGAACTCTCTTCTTCCACTTTCTCTCCGTCTTCGCTGCTGATGCGACGCTCGACTTCTTTGCTTGTTGTTTAGTTCGAGGATTGTTGCTTCTCGAGCGCGGGAGTTCATGCAGATGGAAAGAGAGAGAGAGAGAGAGAGAGATGGTGTTGCCTGTGTAGTAGTGTTATTATTGCTTCGTGGTAGTGGGTAGTGTAGTTTTTGCGTAAGTTGTTACTGCGGCGTTCGAGTGTGAGACGTGATTTTCAGGTCGAGATTTTCCCCGGCCGATCGCGGAACGGTGTTGAGAGGTTGACAACCGGCGGTGTGTTCCATGAAAGTAAATTCCCAAGATGATAATTAACCGTTGTCTCGTTAATCTCGCGATAACTAATGCCGGGTGTACGAATCCGGTTTGAAGATGCCGATTTTTTTCTTTTTCTTTGTTAACGCCGATCTTTTTGTTTTTGTTTTTTCCTTTTTTCAAAGCCAGCTGTTCGCGACACATCCGAGTGCGCGCGAGATCGCGAATCGTTCTCTGACGTAAATAGATAATTATGTTGATTTTACTAAAACTGTTACTAACATCGACCTGGACGGTATCAGCCGAGAAACATCCGAGCTCGATCGAATATACCAGCTCTACTGACCGCGACCCGTAATCCCCGTACTCGCAGGTGGGCGAACTTTCCCGGCGAGATCTTTCCCACCTGACGGCACGACCTTCGCTCAAGTCAGCCTAGGACAAAAACTTAGCAAAGAGATACCGCCGTACGGCTACTGGAACATGCAGTTCTACCAATCGGAGGCCGCCTACGTACGCTTCGACTACAGCATCCCGCGCGGTGCCAGCATCGGCGTCTACGCGAGGAGGAACGCGCTGCCCACGCACACGCAGTATGACCTTCTGGAGGTTCTCAGCGGTTTCAAGGCGCGGACCACCAGGGCGTCCCATGTTAGTGTTATTGTATGTGCCATCACCCTATTTTTCATTTCTATCATCTTAACGTAGTAGACGGACAACGTCGGGTTTGGACGATATACTTTTTTTTCCATTTTTTTTACTCGCCCCCTAGCAGAACATAAATATATGTGTGTGCGTGTATGTGTGTGTACGTACTGTAACGGTATTGAGCGATGATGGTTCAATCGACGCTGATCGCTCCCGCAGCCTTCGATCAAGAAAGAGGTGACACAGTACATGGAGCCGGGTCATTGGTTCCTCTCGCTTTACAACGACGACGGGGATCCTCACGAGGTCTCGTTCATTGCTGTGATCGCCGAGGACATGACGCACAACTGTCCGAACGGCTGTAGCGGCAAAGGCGAGTGTCTTCTCGGTCACTGTCAGTGCAATCCCGGTTTCGGCGGTGAGGATTGCAGCGAAAGCGTCTGTCCCGTTCTCTGCAGCCAGAGAGGTGAGGTTTATCCATCGTCGCCCGGGGAAAGGAAGCGAAAGCTCGGTTAAAAACTTATCGATAACCAGCTTCTTCGTTTTAACCGATTATAAGTAGCGGCGCTCTTGAATAATTTATACACATTTTTTTTTTCCTTTTACGCGATCGTATTCATCCATACATTATTATGCGCTCTCATTGCCGAAAGAATATCGAGGAATCGCTACGATAATGGGATTCAGCGATTCGGTTAAAATAACATTAAATTGAAATCCGTATCGGAATTTTAATAAACTTCAAAAATCGGTTATTGGTTACGGGTTTGATTAAAATCCTATTGAAATAGAAAGATATAACGATTGGTAGGTTTTTTAACAGATTAAAAAAAACCAAGTCTGGTTACGGCTTCGTTTATCGATTTCTTTTAAATAGAAATCAAAGCCGATTACATTTCACTCGTTTCAGTATTGCACTTTTCCAAACAGCCGCGATACATATTTCCTGGTGCTTGGTACCGATTATTCTCCCCTTCCCCTCTCTCGCGCGCGCGCACGCCGGGAACGGAGGAATACGTTTGTATTTATTTACTCGGTAAAACAAAGTGATTCGAGTAACTGACTCCAAGGGAAAAATATAACAATAATTCGATACGTCTCCATGACTTTGCGATCTAATAACTTGAAACGCGAGTATTTCCGGTACGATCGGATTGCAGCGACTGCTGCAGCCACCGCTCATCGCACGCCGGTTTTAATCACTGAAACTTTCCATCTTCGCGGCGGCAACTTGGAGCGTTGCTCTCGCTGATGAGCGGCGCGTGAATAATTTCCGCTGATCTCGTTAAATAATACCGTCGTTCCGTTTTAGGCGAGTACATAAACGGCGAGTGCCAGTGCAATCCCGGCTGGAAGGGAAAGGAATGCTCCCTGCGACACGACGAGTGCGAAGTGCCCGACTGCAATGGCCACGGCCACTGCATGAACGGCAAGTGCAACTGTGTACGCGGCTATAAGGGCAAGTATTGCGAAGAGGTCGATTGTCCGCATCCGACCTGCTCCGGTCACGGTTTCTGCGCCGAGGGCACATGCATCTGTAAAAAGGGCTGGAAAGGGGCCGATTGCAGTCAAATGGACAAAGAGGCGTTGCAGTGCCTGCCGGACTGCAGCGGACACGGAAACTTCGATTTGGAGACTCAGACCTGCCTCTGCGAGTCCATGTGGTCCGGTGACGATTGCTCGAAAGGTAAAGGGATGAATTAATGGATTTTTATGNTTTTTTTTTTTTTTTTTTTTTTTTTTTGGAGGGAAGAGATGAAATGTTTGCACGCGACTCGTGCGCGTAAATAGCTTAAAATTTTCAGTTTAGAGAGTTGTTACGTAAAAAAAAAAATAAATCATTGTGTGCTCTGTGTATCTCTCTCTCGTACAATATAAAACATTTCTATTCTCCACATTTACTCTGTCAAATATTTTTCAAGCACGGTAACGAGTTATTTTATATTTTAGGTACGAAATCATTTTTGCGTGTATTTTGTACGAAATATGTATGTACGAAAATAATCCATTTCTCTCTATTTTCTCCTTCGTTAAGGAGAGAATTACTTCTTCACGTTTATTTATTATAGGCCACGTCCGACGAATATTTTCATCTGTAACGTTGATTTAACATCGGAGCCCGCTATTTATAAAATCGTCGTTCTCGCAAATGCTAAGTCAACTCAATAAACATTAATCGTACGGCAATGATACGGAAAGTTAGGACAATCGATCGTACGTTCGCGCATCCAACGAACTGACGACTCCTGTATGTTTCCAGGTTTCTAGGTGGCGGCCGGAATATACTCGCGAAAGTAATTCTTACGAAACTCTCGATTAACTGTCCACTTTTCCAGATCCCTCTTCTTCTCATGGCCTCGTTTATTCGTCGTCGTCAGACAGTCATCGCTTTGCTCTCCCGGCTTCTGAGTGTCGCTTCGAGACTAACATCCCTATATTTCCGAACATTCCGACGACGTCGTTCTCACGCTAACCGCCTCGCTGTGTTTCAGAACTATGCGATCTCGATTGCGGCCCTCATGGACACTGCGTGGACAACGCCTGCGATTGCTCGCCAGGTTGGTCCGGCGAGTTGTGCAATCTGAAGCAATGCGATCCTCGCTGCAACGAGCACGGACAATGCAAGAATGGCACGTGTCTGTGCGTTACCGGATGGAACGGAAAACACTGTACGATGGAGGGTTGTCCGAATTCCTGTTCCGGCCATGGACAGTGCAGGGTGTCGAACGACGCGCAGTGGGAGTGCCAATGCTACGACGGCTGGGACGGCAAGGACTGCAGTGTGCTCTTGGAACAGAACTGCAACGATGGACGAGACAACGATAAAGGTACCACGTTTCCACGTGAACGCATTCTCGATATTGATTGCCTTCCGACCTATTGACAAATTGCTCCTCGAGTTCCCCATAAAAGACGACCGGTGAATAATTCCACAGTGCAGATGTGTTTGAGAGCGTAAACTTTCAAACGAAGAACGTCGATTGATTATTTATTACAAATAATAATAATTGGTAATCAATTATTGTTTATTACAGGTGTGTACCAATTATTTCTCATTCGTTTAATACGTTAAACTTGCGAAACTTGTTAAAGAGGACGCAACGTTCGAATCGTAATCTTAGATGAGCGAGATTTCTTTTACACAAAGGATGTTTGCTTAGGAAAACAATGAAGACCAGCTGTTTGATATATTTTTCTCCGTGGGACTCCGCGTAACAAGAATTAATGCGCCTCTTTCAGACGGTCTCACCGATTGCGCCGATCCGGAATGTTGCTCCAATCATATGTGTCGTAGCAGCCAGCTGTGTGTCTCGGCGCCCAAACCAATCGATATATTGCTACGGAAACAGCCACCCGCCATCACCGCTTCTTTCTTCGAGAGAATGAAGTTCCTAATCGACGAGGGCAGTCTGCAGAACTACGCTCGTCAGGAGACCTTCAACGAGAGGTAAGCTCGCCGTCGACCGTCGCGAGACTTTCCCCCCTTGTCCTTGCGACCAATGTCGTCGTCTTGGTTCTCGTCGTCTCCGCGTTTGCTCAAAAATCGTTAGCGAAAATTGTCCGTCCCGATGTTGATGTTGCGTCTACAGGTTGCGTGTCTCTGAGTAAAGAAATAAAATGGGAGATTTAACTCAACATGCGCGATCACGAGAGAATGGCAGCAATTATAAACATAGGCACACACTGATCATTAACACTGTACAGGACTTCACAGATTCGTCGAATTTCTTTCCATGTACGAATTTTTTTAAATAATTTCGGACCATTTCTTCGCAAGGAAAACTCTCAATTATATACGTTTTACTTTTCACGATATCAATTTTTCGATATCTTCGGAATTAAGTGTCGAATAATGAAATCCAGTTGGAGTAAGAGATCCCTTAGACATTCTGGAGAAATCAGACCTTATTACTTGTAACTCGACTTCCGCAGCTAGATTCGTGAAATTTTCTGGTTTCTCGATGCAAGTCGACAACCACCGATATCTTTCTCTTTTTCCCTCCCTCCCTCCCTCCTCTCTCTCTCTTTCTCTCTCTCTCTCTCTTTCTCTCGGTACGTCCTTATTAAAAATTTATCATTAATCATCTGCTCCGCATTGAACAAAGGATCCGTATGTGGAAAAGAAGATGACGGGGAATCTGTGGAGTCCTGTACGAACCGTAAATCCTGAAGGTCGAGAAAGTTGCATGCTCGACGGGATGACTAAAGGTTATTAATACGAATATGGTCCCTTTGACTCGAGCCAGGAACCGAATCGTTTGAAAGATTAGTCGGGCAAAGCCGATCGATCTCTATTTTTAACGCGGGAAGAAGCGCGCACACACAGAGAGGGTCCCGGCGCTCGCCGAGGGACCCGGTAATCTTTAGCTGCCTGCGCGCATTACAAGATACACGCATACCCCTGTACATCTCTCTCTCTCAGTACACGTGTATACAGACAGTATACAGACACGAGGATGCATACATATAGATTTGAATATTATATCTGCGTTGTTGTGACCCGTGTGAAATCACATCCCAACAGTTTTCTACATATGTTTTGTACGTACGTGTGCGCGAGCGTGTGCCCTGCACTGACCCTCCCCCACCCCGACCCCCTTTCGGCCCTTATCTCCATATATATATATACATATCTCTCTCTTTCTCTCTCTCTCTCTCTCTCTCTCTCTCTCATATATTTTTTTCTATCCACCTCGATCTTCATCACAGATCCCTTACAATTTATCTATCATCAGTATCAATCCACAACCCCGTTCATTCAATTCTCTCTTTCTCTCTTTCTCATGTCCGTCCGAGTGGAGCTTGCGTGAATGTGTGAATCCATGTTTAAGCCTCGAGCTTTTCGCTCATCATGCCGACTAAGAGTGGGAGGAAGGGAATACAATAACCGGACAGTTTTTTTTCCTCCCCGACGCGTCGGGCTCATCGGAAGGGACCGAGCACAAATTCTAGTAATCCCGACGCGACGTATCGAAATTCTTTGTAAAAAGCGGATAGTTTTCCTCAGACTCCTCTATATATTTTCATCCCCGCCCCTGGAAATCCTTCGCTCTTTTCTTTTTCTACCGCTCATAACCCCCCCCCCCCTCCCTCCGCCCTAAGGCCGTTCCTTTGAGCATCCTACCTCTTCTAGTTTCGCCTTTAATCACATCATTTTAACACGGCTCTGTTTTATCCGTGCTGCCCGGTCAGTATGTTCTGGAATCACTTCAACACAAGGTAAGAAAAACCAGACGTCGATGAAGCTCGATTAATTAATGAATAAGGATCCGTAATACGAGATCCGTAGCGGTAACAAAGAACCTGCTGCTGTTTGATAATATTTTCGTGCATTTGTGGTATCTCACGTATGTGTACATAATAAAATAACATCCTGCATCCGACCGCGACCGAGTCGTGCGTGTGCGTTCGACTGCGTCCGAGAGAACTCTGACCTCTCTCGATTTGATTCGCCTCGAATCTCAGCAGGTCTCCCCTTGGATCACGTACCGCTCGATCTTTCCGGGTCTTATTCGTAATATCTGTCGGTTCCGACGATGACGAGAAGACAGATATCGAGGATTAATGAGCGCGTGACGAGAAGGAGCCGCGTCTCTCACTCCTCTCTTTAATCCTGAAGATATCCGCGTACCTTTCGACGTTCAGCCTGAAAGGTACGACGAGAGACGCGATGAGAAAAAGATCAATCAGTTGCGCGTGGTTCATGCGGTACGCGACCTAAGAGTCTATCTCGACAGTTGGAACACATCTCACGATCGTTCGAGCTCGCACTTCGTCCTCCATTGTTGTCGAACACATTCTCGTTGCATGGTTCAGTTTCCTTTTGATTCCTACGTTGTGTTTCGTGCCTTTTACGTTCAGCTTCCGACTTTGTGTTATTCGTGTATATATAATATAAATATATATATATATATATATATATGTATATGTATATAAATATATCAACTCTGTACGTATAAGTAGTGATTTATCCTCGATCAATGCTCCAGTGCCAAAGAGGCGCTGATTGGAAAGGTTTAACTATCGTTCACCGTCTCCTGTTCCCCGTCCAGAGACCGACAGCTCCAATCTGACAGAGAGATACCAAGTTTGTGTTCGTCGGCGAGTCAGAAGTAGAGCGATTACATTCCGTGCCGTTTATTATCGCGCAGTAATCGACCACCGTGCCTAGTGGTTCCTCTTTAGCACTGAGAAGCAAAATTGGCGAAAGTACATCGCATTGAATATGTATCACGAATTTGCATATGCAATGGCCGTCGATGCCCGATATCGAGATACTTATTAAACGGTGAAAGGATTCTGTCACATGTAAATGGACGCACATTACCCCCTGATGCAATTTTACCTCAATTGCTTCTGTCTCTTTAAACGTCCGATAAGTGCACTTTGCGTTTAATTATAGCGATTCTCTCCATCCGCCGATATCGATCTACCGATGACAACTACGAATCAATTCCACGGTCTATTTTTAAAGCACTCGGACCTCAGGCAAAGCATTATCCGAGAGATCTTCCGTGCACCCCTCCTTTGTCGTCACCTCGGTGAAAAAAAAAAAGCTTTACTTCAAAAAAGAGCCGACGCTAAAATCCATCGCAACGAAGACCAAAAAAAAGCGAGATTCGTCGGAATTAAAGAAGACGTTCTCGAATCCGTCGTGATATCGATTTTGCCTATTCTCTAGTCAGTTTGCACAGGGAAGAAACTCAAGGCGACCGTCTGCTTGTTTCTACCAAGCAAACATTTTTCTTGGAAAGAGAAGGAGGAAATGTAAAAATAAGAGCACCTAACGAGTCGGGCGTATTAGACATCGTCAAGTGACAGCATCTTTTCGTCGACGTTCACCTCGTAGGGAACGTTCGAGAAGCGTGAACGGTAAATCGTATTTCTTGTAGATTGAGATTAGTCTAGAGAATAGAGATTTGCTTTGTTGGTAGCGTACGACACACGAGGCACACGAAGAAGTAATCTTAGATACTATCGATAGGCTCGCGAGCCTTTGTGCGAACTAAGAACGATCGTTTTCTAACAGCCGATCGGCCGTCGTGCGCGGTCGCGTCGTCACGCACCTCGGCACCGGCCTGATGGGAGTGCGGGTCAGCACCAGCACCCCGTTGGAAGGCTTCACCCTGACGCGAGACGACGGCTGGTTCGATCTACTGGTGAACGGCGGCGGTGCCGTAACCCTGCAGTTCGGCAGGTCGCCTTTCAAGCCGCAAAGCCACATCGTCTTCGTGCCTTGGAACGAGGTGAGCGTAAATTCGAACTAATCGCCGTACTGCGCGTGACTTCTGAACTACAAGCCGACTGAATTATCCAGTTAACTGACCGAGCTCGCTAATAATCGCGCGATGTGAAACGTTCGAGAGCTTCGAGAGAATATTTTCTTCACGACGCGCGAGTAGACCCCGTCGTCGATCTCAGACGCGTCCGGAGGTCACGCCGAAGTCGGGAGAAACGTCGAGGATAATGGAAACGTAATCTGTTTTCACATCAGGTCGTCATAATCGACAAGATCATCATGAGCACCGCCGAGGAAAAGCCACCGCTCCACGTTCCGCACGCGTGCACGGCTCACGATTACGATCTCATGAAGCCGGTCGTCCTGGCGACCTGGAAGCACGGGTTTCAAGGTGCCTGCCCGGACAAGAGCGCCATATTGGCCGAGTCCCAAGTCATACAGGAGAGCCTGCAGATCCCCGGCACGGGATTGAATCTGGTGTACCACAGCTCCAGAGCGGCTGGTTACCTTTCCACCATACAGCTGCAACTTACCCCGGAGTCCATACCGGCCACTTTGAACCTGATACACCTGAGAATCACGATTGAAGGTATACTTTTCGAGAAGACTTTCGAGGCCGACCCCGTGATCAAGTTCACCTACGCGTGGAACCGGCTGAACGTTTACCGTCAGCGCGTCTACGGCGTCACGACCGCGATGGTCAAGGTCGGTTACGAGTACAGCGACTGCAAGGATATCATCTGGGACGTGCAGACGACGAAACTCAGCGGTCACGACATGTCCATCTCGGAAGTCGGTGGCTGGAACTTGGACATTCATCACAGGTACAACTTCCACGAAGGTATTCTCCAGAAGGGAGACGGCTCGAACATTTATCTGAAGCACAAGCCTAGGGTCATACTCACCACAATGGGAGACGGCCACCAGAGGCCGTTGGATTGCTACGACTGCGACGGACAGGCCTCCAAACAACGTCTCTTGGCACCCGTCGCCCTCGCCACTGCGCCGGACGGCTCCATCTTCGTGGGCGATTTCAATCTAGTCAGGAAAATCCTCGTCGACGGAACAGTCAGAACGGTGGTTAGACTGAAGTAAGTTTGCCCGCATCTTTTCGCGTTTCTTCCGAAAGAAATACTTTCTGTCATCGCTCTTCTTCGCTATCAATTCGAAGAGAACGTCTTATCGCTATGATATATCTCAATTTATTTTAATATTATATATTACTTTATATTTTACTTTTCATTTACACACACACACACACACACACACACACACACACACACACACACACACACACATATATAATCATTCAATCTTTATATTTCACGTAACGATCTCTTTTGATTTCTTCACAGCGCGACCAGGGTATCGTATCGATATCACATCGCTCTGAGCCCGCTGGACGGTCTTCTCTACATATCCGACCCGGAGTCCCATCAGATCATCCGCGTCCGCGACACCAACGACTACACAGACCCCGATCACAACTGGGAGACGGTGGTCGGCTCCGGGGAGCGTTGCCTTCCCGGTGACGAGGCTCACTGCGGCGACGGTGCGCTCGCGCGAGACGCGAAGCTCGCTTACCCCAAAGGCGTCGCCGTTTCCGCGGACAACGTTCTGTACTTCGCGGACGGCACGAACATCAGAATGGTCGACCGCGACGGCATCATCACCACCGTGATCGGCAATCACATGCACAAGTCGCACTGGAAGCCGATACCCTGCGAGGGAACGTTGAACGTCGAGGAGGTGCACCTGCGTTGGCCGACCGAGCTGGCGATCAATCCTCTGGACAACTCGCTGCACATGATCGACGACCACATGGTGCTGCAGTTGGCGCCGGACGGTCGCGTCAAGGTCGTCGCCGGGCGTCCTCTTCACTGCGCCTCGCCGTCCTCCTCGTTCGACACGGAGCTCGCCACTCACGCCACCCTCGTGATGCCGCAGAGTATCGCGTTCGGGCCCTCCGGCAACCTGTACATCGCCGAGAGCGACTCGCAGAGGATCAACCGCGTCCGCGTGATCGGCACCGACGGCAAGATCTCGCCGTACGCCGGCGCCGAGTCCAAGTGCAACTGCCTGGAGCGTGGCTGCGACTGCTTCGAGGCCGATCACTACCTGGCGTCCACCTCGAAGTTCAACACCATATCCGCCGTGGCGGTCTCCCCCGACGGGGTGGTCCACATCGGCGACCAGGCCAACTACCGCATCCGCTCGGTGACGGCGAGCATACCGGACGCGAGCGGCGCGCGCGAGTACGAGATCTACGCTCCCGACACGCAGGAGATCTACGTGTTCAACCGGTTCGGCCAGCACATCGCCACGAAGAACATCCTCACCGGCGAGACCGTGTATCTCTTCACGTACAACGTCAACACCAGCAACGGCAAGCTCAGCACGGTGACCGACGCGGCCGGCAACAAGGTCTTCCTGCTCAGGGACTACAGCAGCCAGGTGAACTCGATCGAGAACACGAAGGGTCAGAAGTGCCGACTCAGAATGTCCAGGATGAAGATGCTGCACGAGCTGAGCACACCCGACAACTACAACGTCACCTTCGACTATCACGGGCCCACCGGTCTGTTGAAGACGAAGCTCGACAGCACCGGGCGTAGCTACGTCTACAATTACGACGAGTTCGGCAGGCTGACCAGCGCGGTGACGCCCACCGGCAAGGTGATCAGCTTGACCTTCGATCTCAGTCTGAAAGGTGCGGTCGTGAAAGTCGGACAGAACAACAGGAAGCCCGTCTCGATGCTGATCAAAGGATCGTCGGTGGTAACGAAGGTCGGCGAGGCTGAGCAGAGGACGACGGTGCTCGCCGATGGCTCGGTCGGCAGGGTGACGTCGTGGGCTCACACCGTCAGCACCGACACCATGCCGTACTCGATCTTGGCGGAGATCGAGCCTCTGTTAGGCGAGAGCTACCCTGTACCAGCGAAGCAGCGGACGGAGATCGCCGGGGATCTGGCGAACCGCTTCGAGTGGCGGTACTTCCTGCGGAAAGTCCAGGGGAATAAGAATCGCGGCAACGCGAAGGCGGTCGCCCAGGTCGGCAGGAAGCTCCGAGTGAACGGCGAGATCCTGCTGTCTCTCGAGTACGATCGAGAAACCAACTCCGTGGCCGTGTTCATGGACGACCGGGTGGAATTGCTGAACGTCACGTACGACAGAACGGCCAGGCCCGTCAAGTGGGGCCCGAGGAACGGCATCTTCGCCGGCGTCGAGCTCGAGTACGATCGATTCAGCAGACTTACGAGTTGGACGTGGGGCGACATCAGCGAGACTTACGGCTTCGACCGAGCTGGTCGATTGTACGAGATCAAGTACAGCGACGGAACGTCGATGGTGTACGCCTTCAAGGACATGTTCAGCAGTTTGCCGCTGAAAGTCACCACGCCTCGCGGAAGCGACTATCTTCTGCAGTACGACGAAGCGGGAGCGTTGCAGTCGCTCACCACACCGAGGGGACACATTCATACCTTCTCGCTTCAAACGTCCCTCGGATTCTACAAGTATCAGTACTATTCGCCGATGAACAGGCATCCCTACGAGATCTTATACAACGACGACGGTCAGATTCTCGCCAAGGTGTATCCGCATCAAAGCGGCAAGGTCGCTTACGTCTACGATCACACTGGAAAACTGGAGACGACGTTAGCTGGTAAGTAATTACAATCGGCTTGTAAATCAATCTGTTCATATATCTCACGGTTATTATGTATAATGTGTATATACAATTGGTTTTACTTGAAGAACAAATTTAAGGATCGATTATTCCGGCCGGAAGTTTTACAATCAGCTGCAATTTATTGAAACCTTTCAAACCGTCGAGCCAATACATTTTAATTTTAATATTTGCATATAATTTTTCTTTAATTTCCATTGGATTCTTACGGCACAATCTTTTTATTATTACTATGCTGAGTATCGCGTGATTGTTTGCATATCATCCGACACCTTCCCTTTCGCAGGACTCTCGTCGATACATTACACCTATCAGGAGACCACCAGTCTGGTTCGCAGCATCGACATCAACGAGCCGAACTTCGAGATGCGCATCGAGTACAAGTATCACGCCGGCATCGTGAAAGACGAGAAGATCAAGTTCAACAGCAAGAGCGGCATGGACAACGCGCATTACCGCTACCAATACGACGGCAATGCGCGCATATCCGGCATCGAGGTGGACATCGACGGCAAACAGTTACCGCAGCTTCGTCTCAAGTACAACCAGAACCTCGGCGTGTTGGAGGGCGTCGGCGATCTGCGGATATACAGGAACCTCTTCAACAGATCCGTCATGCAGGACAGCAGCAAGCAGTTCTTCACGGTGACCGACTACGACGAGCACGGCCGCGTCAAGACCGTGCTGATGAACATCCGTACGTTCGACGTGTTCCGCATGGAACTCGAGTACGACAATCGCAATCGCATCAAGATGAGGAAGCTGACGATCGGCAAGGAGGCGCTCGAGAAGAAGGAGGGCTCCCGAATGGAGAAGATCACTTACAACGCGGACGGCCACGTGCTGGAGGTGGCGGACACGGAGAACAACTGGCAGTACGCGTACGACGAGAACGGTAACGTGATCGGCGTGACCGGGCATAACGGGAAGATCGCCCTGGGCTACGACAGTGGCGACCGAGTCGTCCAGTACGGCGACGTGGAATTCAACTCGTACGACGGACGCGGCTTTGTCGTGATTCGCGGCGAGCACAAGTACAGGTGAACACAATCGTCCTTCAGTTGCGCTTCCGAATTGTCTCGAGACGACGGTAGGAATGTGGCTATGCTTCGCGCGAAAGGTTGAATTTTATCGCAATTTTGTTCGCAATTATCGAGAATTGCGTCGGAACGATTTTATTTCGATGAAACCTTGGGAAAAGGTTGCTTTATTGCAGTATCGTTTACAAAATATATATTTTCGTGTTAAAAACCACGCGTGAATGTACGTCGACAATCGTCCGTTGAACGTCGAACGATCGTTTTTCAGTCGTACCGGTTTCCGATCCGTCCGGAAGGACGAAAACAATTATTCACGTCGCGGTATTAGAATGTACGTTCCGTGAAATTGATTTTTATTACAATGAACAAGAATGACGTCGGTAGGATTTTATTCAGATGAAAACTTTGAGGAAGATTGCCGCTCTCATCGAAATACCGATCATAAAATATCGTCTCGTATTACAAACTGAAATTGAATTTTATCACGATAAACAGAATTACGTCGGGAAGATTCGATTTGGACGAAACTTCGGGGAAAGATCGTTGCTTTATTACCGATTGCAAGATATCGTTTCGTATTACAAACACTCATAAATATACGTCAACGATCGATTTATCAACCGAGCTGGTTTTCAGTCGTCTTCAGTCAAATACGGATCACGAGATATCGTTTCGCGTCACAAGCGTCCTAAAGCGTCCTAAATATACCCTGCCTTCCTTCCTTCAGATACAACTCGCGCGGCCAGCTGATTCACTCCTCGGAGCACAAGAAGTTCCAGATCTGGTACTTCTACGACGACCGTGGCCGGCTGGTGTCCATGAACGACGACCGCGAGAACATCACGCAGTTCTTCTACGCGAACCCGAAGACCCCGGACCTGCTGACGCACGTGCACTTCCCCAAGTCGTCCAAGACGTTCCGATTCCTCTACGACTCGCGGGATTTCCTCATGACCGTGGAGACGTCCGAGCAACGGTTCTACGTCGCGACCGACCAGAACGGCTCGCCGCTCGCGCTCTTCGACACGAACGGCAACCTCATCAAGGAGATGCGACGCACGCCGTTCGGCAGAATCGTCAAGGACACCAATCCCGACTTCTACCTGCCTATCGATTTCCACGGAGGTCTCTTGGATCCCAACACCAAGCTGATCTACCTGAACAAGAGACTGTACGACCCGACTCTCGGCCAGTGGATGACGCCGGCTTGGGAGCAAATGGCCAACGAGCTGACCACGCCGACCGACATATTCATCTACCGCTTCCGCAACAACGATCCGATGAATTTCAAGCAGAACGTCGAGTACATGACGGACCTGGCGAGTTGGCTGAAGCTCTACGGCTACGACATCTCCTCGATGCTCGGCTCGGAGTACACGAAGCAGATGGTGTACCAGCCGAGCGCCACTATCACGTCGCCGCAGCTCACCCCGGACTTCGGCGTGATGTCCGGTCTGCAGTGCATCGTGAATCGCGTGCACGAGAAGTTCTCCGACCTGGGCTTCGTGCCGAAGCCGCTGCTGAAGCTGGAGCCGAAGACGCGGAACCTGCTGCCGCGAGTGGCGCACCGTCGCGCTGTCTTCGGCGAGGGTATCCTGGTGTCGCGCGTCGACGGCCGCGCCTTGGTCAGCGTGGTGGACGGCGTGAACAGCGTGGTGCAAGACGTGGTCACATCCGTGTTCAACAACTCGTACTTCCTGCCGCTGCACTTCAGCGTCCACGACCAGGACGTCTTTTACTTCGTGAAGGACAACGCGCTCAAGATCCGTGACGACATGGAGGAGCTCCACCGGCTCGGCGGTATGTTCAACGTGTCGACGCACGAGACGACGGAGCACGGCGCCGGCACGTGGAAGGAGCTGCGACTTCACAATCCGGACGCGGCGGTGGTGATCAAGTACGGCGCCGATCCCGAGCAGGAGCGTCACCGTATCCTGAAGCACGCGCACAAGCGAGCCGTGGAGAGGGCCTGGGAGATCGAGAAGCAGCTGGTGATGGCCGGCTTCCAAGGCAGGGGCGACTGGTCGAAAGAGGAGAAGGACGAGCTCATCAGCCGCGGCACCGTCGACGGCTACGAGGGCGTCGACATCCACAGCGTCCACAGGTACCCCCAGCTCGCCGACGACCCCGGCAACGTGGCGTTCACCCGGGACGCCAAGAGGAAGAGGCGGAAGAGCGGCAACCGGCGCAACAGGACTCACAGGCACGACTCGTGATTCGAGGACGCCACGCGAGTTCGGAGTATCGTTTGGGACTTGATTCGCGCGTGAATCCGACGTGTGAGCTCGAACGAACGAACGAACAAACGGGAGAACGGGAGAGGGAGCGCGCCGGAGAACGGACGGGCGGAAAGAAGGACGCCGATCACCCGTCGCTACCTTCTCTCCTCGGACACTTCCCTCTCGAGCCTCTTCTCCCCGCGCTCGTCGTCGAGACGGAGATCTATCACGAGCGACCGCGCACGCCGGTGCGTCTGTCCGGTGTCCACTGGCGCAGTCCACCCCCGTCGATGTGCCATAAAGCGCGCGTCCATGCGATCGCGATCGATCCTCGCATGATGCCTCGATCAGCCGTGCCGGAGACGACGGGTGTGAGAACGGATCGCGAAGTGTCAAAATTAAGCTAGTCGCATTATTAACGAAATGAAGAATATAAAGCTTGTTACATGGTGATTAGTTTATAGCGATGAGAGAAAGAGAGAGAGGGAGATAGAGAGAATGTGAGCGAGAGAGAGAGAGAGAGAGAGAGAGAATGTGAGTGAGTGAGAGAGAATGAGAGAGAGAGAGAGAGAGAGAGGGAAGCAGAGGTGGCGAATCGACGCGTAAAGGTGTGACAGGACGAAAGTGCGTGCGTGAACTTTCAAGGTGCCGTCCGCGACGAAATCCGGTAGAGCGTTTTCGCGAATAAAAATGAAGAGGGGAGAGAGTAAAAGGGGGAAGGGGGGAATAAAATTAAATACATGCGAGTATTTAATTTGTAATAATGTGTATATTGTCGGACTTTCGTCGGATCGTCGGTCGAATTTCAGCTGATGTTTTCACGCAACAGGGTCTATGAGACACGTGTACGTGCGCACGCGGAAACGAGACACCGTCGTGGTCGATGCGTCGAGGTCAGACGATGCGAAGCGCGAGAGGATGTGATTCTCGATAGGAAAGATCCTCCGGAATATTTCTGAGAATGTTCAAGGAATGGGATACGTTCTCCGGGTATTTTGTCGCTGAGCGAGTGTCGTATTCGTTGGACATTTCTTCGGGACAGTGCGCTAAAGTGAGATCCCTGTACGTAGTATACAAATTGCTCTACGTTAACGTCTAATTGCGGTCTGGCGGAACATTCTATGCATTCGGGATATTCTCACCTCGCATTCTTTGGTTGGGACGCATTCGACGACCGAGGGTGGATACGTTTCTCAATAATGTGGACGTCGCCGTAGATCGCGTCGCGAGACGCCGTAGAGAAAAAGAAAATGAGCGAGAAAGAAAGAGAGAGAGAGAGAGAGCGTGAGCAAAAGAGAGAGAGAGAGAGAGGGAGAGAGAAAGAGAGACAAATGTGGAAAACAGATATACAACAGATATTTTTAACATGACGCAAAAATTGATGTACTAGATGCGAGACGAGCAATTGTAAATATAGCTACTCGAACTTAACGGTAAATGTAGATAAAATATCGTAACGTAACGAGAGAACGGTCGTAAAACTCAAGTGGAACTGTCGATACCGCTTTTTTATATATAATATACTCGATACCGCGGAAGAAGGCAACACCACATTTACTAGATCAATATTACAAATTTTCAGCCAGCAGCGTTCCTTTCTAGCTGCGTGTTTCTCATGACTGTTGATTATTCGAGAAAGAAGGGAAGAAGGATAAGAATTTTATTACAAAATTATATACATATTAAGTTATATATAATAATTTATTATATTATAACAATTATACGTATATAATTGTAATAATATAATGATTAGAAAGTATCCGCTTCACATATAATACATGTATACTTTCTAATTGATATTTATTCTAATTTATTTTAATCTTATGTATCGCTTCTCTTACTTATCTTTCTCAACGTCCTCACTCTTCTGTCAATTTCGCGTTACACTTGAGCGGATGCCCACTTTGGTGATGCGTACGAAACTTCAAGCTGTCGAAAACATCACTTTTGCTTTAAACACGTCCCCGTTTCCTCCATCGATCTATTTTGATTGGGAAAACGCGTTAATTAGGAACGAATGCGGCTTGGCCGAAAATTTTCAGTAACTATTGATCTAAGAAAGAATGGTAAAGCATCCCACGGTGCCAAGTATACAAGAACAAAAACTACACGGCACATGCGTATAGGAAACTTACTCGCATCCCCGAGATGACCCGCGGGCGCGATAAAATTCGCGGTGGGGGGAGGGGGGTCGCGAAGTGATCGGACGCGTCGCGATTTGTTGACGAAACCGCGAGAGAAACGCGGGGAGATTTCTTCTTAGGAGAAGAAGGCGCGACACTCGCGCCGGGAGAACGCAGTTGATTCACGTTGTAATCTCGAGCCAGGCCTACGCACGATCGACACACTCATACACACGTACACACACGTACACACACTATCATCGCTTCAAATCGGCCGGATGCATAGATCGCACGATGTCGGCGCTGTTGTTTTCAATCACGCCACCGACAAGTGCAAAACGCGCAATTGGATGTTGCAGAGCCAAGTATAAGCGAGAAAATAAGAGGCACCCACGCGATGGAAATCCGTCGAGTCTAAGATCCGTAAAGTTTACTTTAGATATAATTTCGTACTTTAAAGTAAGATCAAGCGGGATAAGGGGAAGGTGAGGCGGGTGAGTGGAACGGCGCGTAGATTTGCCAATTGCGAGATTTGCGGCCCGCGAATGACCGATAGTAATTTTGACAGCCGTCGGGAAACGATGAAAATTGAAACGACTCGTTAATATTGGACAATTATCACGCTGTCCCATCTGTCCGCTCCGATAATAATCTCACTTGAGCGTAAGCCTTGTCGATTTTATATTCGACGCGAACTCCGATCGCCGGATGCCGCATGTATAAGCGAACCTATTGACCGATTTGTCGTAGACAACGTAGACACGTGTAAATAGTATCGGCATCACGTAAACGAGTAAGAGAACTATTGCGACGTGACGTCGCCGCGCGAAACGACGAGGTGACGTGACGAGACGAGCGACAGTCATAACGGGATGCGTCAAAGTAATAATGTCCAGAAGAAAATAATAATAATAATAATGAATAATAATAATAATAATAAATAATAAATAATAATGAATAATAATAATAATATAATAACGGTAAGTAATAAGAATAATAAAATATAGTAATAATAATGGAAAACGATAATATTTACCATTGTACGAAAAAAATGCCCCGCCTATCTTTCTACTAAAAATGAAAAATTATTTTTTGAATTGTGTCGTCGAAGAAGTCCTATGTAACCGTGTATGTGGGATCGCCCCGTGAGGAAACCTCACCCCCCGCGTTCCACCGAAGAGAGCTCCCAGTAAAAAATAGGCGAATTGATAAGAATTGGCACGGAGGTTCGTCTCGTCGAGTCATAAATTACTAATCTTCGAAGTTAGGGCTTTTCAACATGGTGGTGGGAACTTGTTTCTTATTTCTTCCCAATCGTATTGTTTCATTTCTGAATTCCGCAAAGACCATGGAGTTTTCCTTAAATTAAATTTCTTACTTGGATTTACAAAACACATTACAAAACACATTCTTCGCGTCCCACCTGTGTATTAGTTTCGATATCTGGTTGCAACATCGAGTAGCACCGTTACGTTGGAAATCCAAAGATTTCTTAAGGGAAAGTCCGACCGCTCGATTCCGAAGATATATCTCGGCTACATTTCGCATCTCGCCGCTCGAACAAATTTCTTTAGATTCGTTTCAATCCACCTATTTTTCACAGGGCACAACTTTGACCCCTCCTCTCTGTAACAGATATAGCTGAACTCGTCGGTGTTTATCAATATTGGGTAAATAAAGAAGAAAAAAAAACGTAAAAAGCGTAGATCGAAGTTTGTGGTTCGGGTCGGATGAAGTAACTGACATAGAAAGTAAAGAACGCAAAAAAATACGGATATAACGCATAATTATATAGGGGTACGGTGAGCCAACGTGCGAGCCCACGCAGCTCCACCACGTTGTGTTCCACGTAGGCGTATGGTAAAAGTAAAAATAAAAAAAATACATAATCATAACTACAAACGTACGTACTAGTTGACGAGTTAACGTGGGGGTTTAGCGAACGGTTAAGGGAGTGTGCTAGTGAACCTTACAAGTAACATCGCTGTACATATCTGTTGTGTATAGCCGACACACGCCACACTGTCCCGCGAAAGTAGTCTTCACACCCCTCGCATGAAGAATCTTTTCTACCGCGAGATCATAAAGAATTTTAGCGGCAGAGCGCCATCAATCTTTACGCTTAACTCTCGAGTACGCCCGTCGCCGCATTTTTTATTCCGTCGGTTCCTAAAGCCGGGTCACACACGCGAACGTGAGTTTATTATTAGCGACTCAGTTTTGAGGCTCGTTTCGCGCACACGTTACCGTGATTTAAAAAAAACAAAAAAGAGAACGGAAAGCAGAGGAAGAATGAAGGAAGAAAGGTGCAAACTATATACGTAAATTAAAACGAATCGATAATTTATGCATTTTACCGGATGATCGAGAATTAAAATCACGAGTGACGCGCGCCAGTAAGAATCCGTACGTCTACTTTGCGTCTTAACGCTCCATCGACACGCGCCGCTACAATTTCTATATCATTTCGCTAAGTACTCCGTTTACTTTCGACGGAAAGAAACGATTTCGCGCGTCAAACGCACCTTTTCCGGTGGGCAGCCCGAGGTTGGACGTGACATATCGATCTGTGATTCATTCCGTATGTCAAACCGCCGATAAAAAGGCATGCGTGAATTATTACTGCTTTCCTCCCTATTCCGAAACGGAACGAGTGAGCTTGTAAACGTAGCCTATACGTGGGTAATCGCTGAAGTCTCAGGCTCGACTTTGTATGCACGTCGGGTCAGTTCACATCAAGCCTTTGTTACCAACGCGGAGAGTTAAACGATATTTCACATTCAGCACGAACAATTCAAATTAGGCTACGAAATTGACAAACGATCCGAGCCGCGCCACGATCAAAGAGGTGCGCACTTTTTAACTCGCTAATTATTTCCTATCAACTCGGCGAACTCGCGTATATCATTCCCGTGGGGGGAAATGGAAGGATCGCAAAATCTCACGTCACGGTTGACAAAGTCCGCCACTTTCGACGGTTCGAAGCGAATGCGAGATTAATTTCTAAATTAATCAAACTCGAGTAAACGCGACGGGACTCCCTTCCCGTTGATGTACGCCGTACGCCGCCTCGGGTGACCCCCGTCGATATTGCGTTCTCGACGATCTCTTCGTGCTTCCGCGAGGGACACGAAGGGGAACAAAGTCCCGTAGCGCTTGTTACTGAGTTGTCCATTAACAACACGCCGTTACCCGACACGCGCATTATTGTAGCTCGTAGAGAAACGCTCAGCATGCGGCGACGTTCGCCGACGGCCGGATGGGAGCCGGGCGAACGCCGCGAGCGGTTTTCTATGTGTACTCGTCTACTTGCAAAACGATACGTAAAAACGGGAGAGAGAAAAAGAAAACAGAAAAAAACGATACGACGTTAAAAAGTCCTGTACTCGAGTTAACTTTACGCTTAGCGCATGTTTCCTTCCAAGAGCCGCGAGAGAGAGCCTCCGCCCGCCGGTTTCCCCGGTACTTTTTGCGTCCCGTGTCTCACGAGAGGGGCGTGTTCTGGAAACGAAAAAAACTCGTTTAACCGAATCCGAGCGGGAATACCGGAAATAACGAAACGAAAATTTCACAAAGTAACTTCTGAACCGCGAACGAAATGCGAATATATTTGAATTTAATTATACACTCGCAATCATCCTCGCCGACTTTGATTATCGCCCGGTTAATTATTGAAGATTAATCCACACGAATGTTTAATAGAAAATATCACGCAGATCAATTCTGTCGCTCCGAGGTCGCGATTTCGCATGTACATTTTTTTTTATATTCGCCAGGTGTCTCCAAATTCTTCCATGTTCTTCCAATTACTGCGATGATAAACGTTCGCAATACTTTTATTTTGACACAGAAAGAGTAAAAAGATATACAGAAAATATATACAAAATTTGGACGTTCCATCGTCCTGAAATTAATGAATTCGACGATACGACAAAAATCATTAAAAACATATGAAAATACGCGTGTATATCTACTATATAATCTTAATCCTTTGGTTCCAAATGTCCAAAAATAGACGGGAACAATTTTCGGTAAGCCGATACGCTACTCACTCGAGTGCAAGTTCCAAATTCTCGCAAATGACGTTCATTCCGGTGATCGAAGGACTCAAGCGAAGACCGAGGATTCTCGACGCGGCTCGTCGCAGGAAGGTGCAAAATTTATTATTGTTATGCCGGATCGCGGTCGGCAGCCGCGATCTACACGCGATTAAGAAAAAGCAATACTTCGTAACTATCGTGTATGTCTTGAACGCCATTAAAGGGCAGCGGTAGAACGAGAGACGATAAACATGTCAAAAGTGAAGAAAGCGTGAGGAAGGATGCGTGAGAAACTAGTGCGAGCGAGAGAGAGAGAGAGAGAGAGAGAGAAAGAAATAGAGTGCGTGGGAGAGAGAGAAAGAGAGAGAGAGAGAGAGAGAGATACATAAAAATTAATATATATATATACATATATATATATATATATATATATAAATATGCGAGTTGCGTTAACGATAGTTATTGCGAGGGGAAAGAAAGGAAGTCGTGCGCTTTTTTCCCGTTCATTTTATATGTAAAGGCGAGCCGCGGGACCGTTGCGGTCCGGAAGCGCTCGTCGCGCTTCTTTCTGTGCGCCAGTGAACAATTACGGCGGTCACGTGATACTTTCCGTTTTGTACATACAATACACGCGAGACCGAGATATGAATGATACATTGCGTTCCGTCGCGCGACGCCGGAGCGCTTCTTGAGCGGCGCTCGAGGGTCCGCGACCGATAATCGCGAGATACCGCGGAGTATCTCTGCAACACCGCGAATACGGCAAACGCTAATACTCTCACGTTCGGCGGGGATGAGAAACGCGTCTCATCGACGACTTATCATCTTGGATGGATTTTCGTCCGATCAATCCATCTTATTATTCCGTACGGCACGTACGACTCGTGTACTAGCGTTTACCGTATCATCCGCGGTCGATATCTTGTCGATATCGCGAGAGAAATCTCCGTTATCGCTCGCGGCAGAGAAAGAGAGAGATCGAGGGAGAGATAGAGAGAGAGAGAGAGCGTTAAAAAGGCCACAATCGTATGCGACATTGGTGTTGTTGATTAGGGTACCTACAATTATCCGTAGCGACAGTAGTTTCGTACATCCGTGCCCGCGAAAAGAGGAATCATCTCACATCGTATAGCGAGACCTTTATACTTTCATATGAGGACGACGGTCAATTTGATACTGGAGAGAAAAACGTAAACGACGACTGAGGGGAACCGTACCTAGCACTCACTCTCGGCATCGGCGTGACGGTGAACGCGCGGCTCCCAGGGTCCGAAGCGCGAAGGACCCCTCCGCGGCGATCACCGACACGGCCGACACACACGCTCGCCCGTTCGTCTCTGTACCTTTTTTTCTTTTCGTTTCGTGAACTTGTACATATTAATTGCGATCATTATGTAAATAATCTTGGATACACACACACACACACACACACATGCACGCACACACACATACGCGTACATACACGTGACATATATACGTACGTACACGCACGCACGCACGCGCGCGCGTGAGCGCGAACACGAACGCGAGCGCGTGCCGGCGCGGGAGGTTTATTTTAAAGACATCATGATATATATATATATAAATATATATAAATATATATTACCATGTAATGATATATTTAACAGTAAGGTAACATATTCTATACTCTTACACGCTAAGTACTCAATAAATATATCTATAAAATTTCCCCGTGTTTGTGTGAATGTCTGCCCCTGGACCCATCCCGACGATCCCGTCGTATCGTGGCGTCTGAACCATCCAAGCCAAAAACATATACAAGTGAATAAATCAATAAATGTATAAATATACACACACACACATACACGGTGTGTATTTATATATTTATATTTATATCGAACAACGTTAAACCTCTGTTTGTCGGACTCGTTGAAGGGACTACCGTTAAGTGTGTTCTCACCCCCGCCTCTGTTATCGCTCATCCCCCCCTCCCTTCCCCCGTTAACGGCATTTCGCCGCAACTTCATCCCACGAAAATCGCGAAAAGGGAGCTTTAGACTGTAAGTGTATACAAATGAGTATATATGTAAATACATATATGAATATACATGCGCGATGCTACACGATACTCTCGCGACAGGTCCGATGTTCCGACGAGTACCTACGGAGATACGTGATGTGATGAAAGTTGTTTTTCTATCGATAATAATAATAATAATAATATTAATAATAATAATAATAATAACGAAAGGTTAATTAAAGTCTTTTAGTAACATCACTGGCAAGTTGTTGTCATTGATCTCTCACTACGCCCACACAGCGTACGTTGGACTCTACGCGCGTCCAACGAGATCACACATCCTTCCCCTCAGACCTGCACGGGAAAATCTCAGTTCGTGTGATTGACAAATACAGGGACCAGACGAAGGCCCGGAGAGGAGAAACGATATTCCCGTTGTCGCGGCTGAAAATATTCGGCTGCTTGAAAAGTCTGGTTGAGACAATTAAAAACGATCGAGTAGAAACTCTCTTGCAAAGGACAATTTTTCCGTTACGCCAATATGCGAGTTTTTTTGTCTGACCCCTCCAGGTGACAGAGAACCACAAACTGAGTTTTCTTTCGTGCGTAGTTACCCCTTCACTCCTCTTTCGCTTTTGAATCGCTTGCTTGCTTATACTCGCTTTCGTACATGCGTGAATAGAAACTTATCTAACTTAGAAATAGAAACTTATCTGTCAGGTGCTAGCGGAGAAATTATACGACAATATATAGCGCGCACTCGCTAATTTATCACGCTGACCGCTCTCCCATACTGATCCTCCTCCTCGTTCTTTATTCTGCAAAAATTATAAAAAAACGTGAAAGAGAAAGAACAATCGCAACTGAGGTTCAAGTTCTCAAGGAGTGTAAGCAAGCTACTGATTGTGCTCGGAAGAATGGGGTGACATCGTTGTGTTGTCTACACGACAAGCGGCAGAGAGACACGTGTTAAATCTACCATTGCTTCCCGGATTTTTTACGTTTTCTCGAAAAAACACCAATTAATATTATTCATCTTTGACTGGCTAATATTATCGCCTGCATTTGCGATAACAGAGCTCTTCTCTCTTATCCAAGAAACAATTCTTATCTCCCAATCTTGCGCAATCTTGATTCTATTCCTTTGAACAAGAGGACCGCATAGACTGTTCTGTCTTAACGATAACGTTATCTCTCTCAACCGCGGAAGAGTTAATGAATGGGTTAGCTTTAAGTTCGTAAGGATACCAAGTTATACAAATTATATTATTTTCTAAATTCGAGCAAACATTGTGTTACAGTTTATCCTTCAGGGAAGCTCTCAAAGAATAAGGTTTCATTTCCAGGGTAACGATCAGATCATCACAAGCACTACACAACACAGAGGAATTGAATACCACATCCAAATGTTGCTTTGTACACGATTTTTATTGGAAAACAAGTGTTTTTAACAATGGCGTTGCTCTTTACAAATAGTCAGACGTTTCTCATCGCGTGTTTATACGGTATATTCTCTGTGTGTGGAGACGATAATGGAAGAAATACATGCTACATTCCCATTGGTTTTGTTATCCTCTCTCAAAAAACGTATGTGTAATGCAGCAATTCTGCATTTGCTACGATCAGCAACAGAACTAAAGCTGTAAACACTTACAGCGTGACAGCGACTGTCGAAAATGTAACATATATCAGATACTTGTCTTCCTTAAAGTAAGTCTTAAGTAAAACGAGAGAACTTCGGAACTGCTGCAAGTTCGATTTACAATAAAAGTATGATACGTCTCACTAACTGACAATGTCATGGGCAGAAATTTAGTGTTACATGCTAGAAATGATAATACAAACAATAATTGAATTAAACAACGGAAAAATGTAACTACGTTACATTTGCTGGTTTACATGTGCATAGAGTTGTAATAAATTGATTCGAAACGTTAAAAAAACTGCAGCGTAGTATGTGACGCGAGAAAAACGTGTCTTGCACAGATATTTTATTACAGGAAATATCAATGGAAGAGTGTGTGTGTGTTTGTGTTATTTTAAAGGTGCTCCTACATAATCGATCCTGCCGAAGCTATTGGTTTTGTTCTCCGATTAGAAGGATGATGTAAAATACCAGATGAGGCATTTTTTTAAATTATCATAAATTATTTATATTTAACAAAGCAGCGAGCTTTCCTTCCGACTTGATTAATATCTTACGTTTTGCACTAACGATGAAAAAGTTCTGGTCATCGTTGTTATTGATGATTGAAGTCAGTGAGACCACGTAAATGAAAATATATACATATTTTACATCGACTATTCTTCCAATTTAGACTGATTTCTTTTATATATTCGCATAGATTATAACGTATGAACACCATGTGAGTTACAATCATACGACATATATACATACAACCCTTTACTAAGTCTTTCTCGAAATCGAATATCTCGATAAAGCAAATTCTGGAAGTAGCACACTCATAATACATTTAGGAATGTGTATTCATTATTAGTAGGAAGCTATTAGTAGAACACAATGCAAAAAGGAACATACGATTTATAAATCAACGATAGAAATTCCAAATGCGTCATTTAACGATATTTGTAATGACATTTGACTGATAGCACTAGTGATGCATTATCGCGATTTGATTATTTTAAGAGCAATGTATACCAAAAATTAACAGTATACCGAGTGACTTAATCCTTCTCATGTCCTTTATAAAACGTTATCTACATAGCAAGTGCTCTCTAAAACACATTATTTTCTCAATTTGCGTACAGACGACCATTAGAAAAAATATAAAAATATCGCCATATGTATTTTTATAGCTCGTCCCGTGCCGAAGCCGACGATTTGTCCTATATGTGATGCATTTTTTTTTTAACAATATATTTTACACTCGAGATCTAATGCTTTTTTCCCGTAATGTGAAAAGGACTCTCGTATAAAGAATTTTTTCTACTCCGATTCCTCGGATTAACGAATGTGTTAATGTGTTCATCGAGATATTCTTACCTTAATATATTCTATATTATATATAGATCTCACAGAATTAATATGACTTTATCACTAACATAACTTAACGTCTAAGACACGAGCAGGATTATTAGTTGGTACTGGCATTGTATCTCCTAACTAATACTTCTTTCCTTTATAACAAAAATAATTGTACCAATCTGCATGTACAAAAATACAGACACAGGTGATGATCAGACGAATAAGTTAATAATTCTCTGGTGTTGCGAGATAATGCTACAACGGTGCATGTAAGGAACAGTTGGCTCTACACCAACATTGTTACTTACTCAAGGCCCAGAGCCCAATTGATACCTTGAACAAGGAATAAAATTAAAGGTTGCCAAGCAACAAGCCACCTTAACCAATCCAGCAAGTGGCCATATAAAACATGGGGCCGTTGCCACCTATGTCACGAATTAAGGTGATACAAGCTGAATAAATTGACGTTAAACATCAAATTGCTGGACACATTATGAAAAAGGATACGGATTGCGAAACATCTTCTTCAAGTCGACCTTCTCTTTACAATAAGGGCAAGTTTGTTTCTTCCCTACGATGCACCAGCCTCGGATGCAAAATTCATGAAAAACGTGTCCACAGTTGAGTTTATATGTATTTTCAATCACACCTTCCTCGCGTTCGGACACAAGAAGTCTATTTCCACATACCGCACAAACATTTGGCTCCAGAGACCTGGTTGGCATACTGCCTGGGGTGTAATACTGAAAGTTGTATTGGACAATCGTAAAGTTGTATGTACGATGCAAAGGTATAACAGTGTAATGAATGTTAATTTACAGTCAAGATTAATCTTGATGACACATACCCCAATATGTGATGCCATCGAGTCAGCACATATTTCAGCAACATCCCTTCCTAGTACTCCGAAGTAAAGACCATAAAATAAAAGCAAGAGGCCCCAGTCCATCCAAACGTGAGGCTTAACATCAAATATGAGATTTACACCGAAGAATGTAAATAACACTAAGATGTAGCCAACTATGCCTAATGCATAACTAAGTTTATAAATAAAATAAAACCACTTGTACACTAGCCTGCGAAAAAATTAACTTTCCTGTATTATTTTGTACTTATTGGCTATGTAATATTGATAATTGCATAGCATACCTTGGTGTTGTACCTTTTACTGGTTCTTCAGTTGCTTTTCTTACTACTAAACATGTTATACATGAAATTAAAAGCCACAAAAATATAAATCTCAACCAGTAATTTTTTAAACTTATTCCAAATGGAATAATCCACATGCCTATCAGTGTCACAAACTGTAAGAATAAGTAATATTATATTCATATGTACGTTTTCATGAATAAAATTTTTACTTAATAAATACTAATTATTACCTGATATGATTTAAAGTATCTTTTCTTCCATTCAACTAATACAAGCTGTGCTACTGCTAATGTCACCAATAATATAAGCATCATTTCTGCGTGCATAGATTCGTGACCTCGATGTTGTTCGTGCATCTTTATATGTTCTACCCTGAAAAGGAAATTTAGTAAAATGTCCACTAACTTATGTTTCTATACATATACTTCTTATCAGCCGCAGATATTACAAGAAACATTACAGTATGATAAGATTCTTATATTGTCAAGTTCTTATATTACTGTAAATTTGTCACTTACCTCCATTTCTCTTCTTGAGTTAATTCTGCTTCACTCTAAAACAAAGAATAACAGTTGCAATTGTAGAACTGTGAACAACAAAACATTGTTCAAAATAATGTACACGATTCCCCTTAACGTTACAATCGTCATCAGTCTGATGTCATTATATTAATGCGAAGATAATACGTGTCAAACTAATTGTTGCACGTCAGTATCAATTTGTATGAATCACATAAGTTTGGAGGTTATATTTTCAAGCACACAGTAGTACGTAGACATTACGCATCGGTTAATCTGTAGGATTATACACCTACTTTGTTTGACATTTGTTGTATGTCCATTATTAAAGCCATATCCAGTTAATGCATAGAGAAATAGAAATTAATAAATTGACATAATGCGACAAGAGAGAAACCTGAGAGCGGTCACGCCGGCGTTGATACCGCTTTTCATGACCGTTTGATACGCCATCTGCGCACATTTTGAAGACGGCACTATTTCGTTGCGCACATTTGCTGGTACTGTCGATACAGTCCTCATTTGGTGCGTGTCCGTGCTACGCACATTTTCTGCCGATACAACTTCCATTTGATGCGGGTCCGAGTTATGCTCATAATTTCTGTGGATGAGAGACATGGCGCCGTGTACGGACTTATATTTCGTTCAATATGAGTGCATGATATTTCCCCTTAGATATTATTATGAATATATTTTTATTATTTGTATTGTGTTGTATTGTATTGTAACAATGCAGTCTTTACCTCCTCCACCTTACCTTTCCATGACTGAACATCAGTCGGGTTGTTACCGGCGCAACTCCAATCTTTTCACACAGAGTGGGTTCCACTTAACGCTCGCAACGACGCGTCGTTCCACCTTTATTCAACATCTAGCGAGAAACAAAGGTAGAATGACGCTTGCGTCGTTGCGAGCGTTAAGTGGAACTTGCCCACAAGCGAGTGTTATCGCACCGACGTGTTCTATATATGCATAGTATGTACATGCCCATTTTAGTTTGTTTATATAGTTCAATGGCGCTCTCTGAGTGCAGGAGCCATTAAACCTTTTCAATGAAGCGAGCTTCTACTCAACACTGCTAGATAACGCTAGCGCAGACTATATCTGTATATATAACGGGTCTAACAATCGTAATGGGTCCGCTGTACCCGTTACGATTATTTAACCCGTTATTTTTATTATTCCTAAAATCTGCCATGAATCTCCATCGTCCTCATCGAAGGATTCTATAGAACTCAACAAGTCAGTCACACTTTTATTTTGGAATTTTATAATTCAACATATTAGAAACTTTTATACGTCCAAGTAGTACGACTCAATGCCTGATCAAAAGTCTTTTTATTTCCAAGTTCTACATTTCAATAGTAAATCAGAACGTTTATAATTTCTAATTTTAAAGCTTATTCGAACTTACTTAAAATTACACTATGTATATGTAAAAAGAAATCTATCAAACAATTGAAATTTTGCAGATACTGTCAGTCCCTCCACTTGTTCAGTAATACGAGTTAATTGCAAGTTGGAAGTTTTTGTATCTTCGACATAATAGCAAATCAGTCTCCTCACACAAATGCCCTCGAGCCCGAAGTCAGACACTTCTGAATCGAATCGGCGCTTAAGTTTGGCGGGAACCGAGCTCGTAAGGAACGATTAATACCCCGAGAATTCGATTGGCGTTTGCCGTTAGATCCAATCAAGTGTCGCGTGACTTCGCCAGTGAGCGTGCACCGCGCGTATTCGTGGGCGATCGTCCGCGCTCGGGCGTCCACGGCTCTAAACCACGCCCAGCGCTGCGAGGGCCAGAGAGGGAAGTTGGTAATTCACTCGGCAGAGCAGCAATATGAGCGCTCGTGGTACCGTTCGCTGAGAAAACGCGCGACGTGACGAGATTCCATTGCCGTGAAATCGCGCGCCGTACGTGCCAGCGGGTCGCGCGACGCTCGCGTGCTCGGTGAGTGTTAACACAGTGCCGTGCCTGATTGCGTCCCGCAACACGTGGATACGTGGATTTCTTGGTTAGTTCCCCGGATCTTCGGAGGGATACCCCGCCAGCCATCGCCTCCGCCGCCGCCACCGTGGTCGTCGCCGTCGTGGCGAGGGATTACTTTCGGTGAGTAAGGCATAACTGTCTTGACGCGATTCGATGCACGTCGCCGGAGAAGCGAGCGACGATATTCCGCGAAATTCCGCCGCTGTGCGTCCCGGCATCGCCGCCGAACCACATTCCGTCCTTCGCGTGTCTTTGACAGGCGAGAAATTATTCGCGCGAGGAACCCTCGGCATCCGCGAGAAAGGAGCATCGAAAGGAATCTCGGGGGGAACATCGACGAGACACACGCGTTTCCGACGCGCTGACGAAGAATCGCCCCGTACACTGTGAAGTTGCCCGCTCCAACCGTGAAGGAGCGCGCACGGTACGCCAATGAACTGACGTTCGAAAGAATTTAAATTTCCATGTTTGCGCGAACGCGTCACGAAGTTCCCAAAGTGTTCCGGCACGTCGTCCTTGGGCGCCGATAAGGCGGAATGATAACATAATTCTCGAGAGAAGCTGCAGCGCGAAACGCGATATCAACGATGAGCGAGGAGAATGTCGATTTTCTCTTCCGTGCTCGGCGTGCTCCGGAGCATTCGCGGAGTGTCGGACGTTCTCACGATACTGTTCTCTACGAGCGATAATCAGTCGTCGGGGGCAATTAGCTTCTATTCTCAACGTCCAGTTTCAATTCTCTCTCGACGACGCTTTCAAGGACTCGGCGCGCGATCATGCCGAGTCTAAGTAGCCGATTAGAGGTCGGTTAACCGGTCCAACCTTTCTCTCACTCGCGCATGCCGAGTTATGCGGCATCGTCTTCGCCCGTACGAGCGTCGCACAGCCGTGCACAATTTATTTCGACCGCGTCAAATACGGACGCATACGCGCCCGACCTAATCCCAGAAGAAGCCTACCGTTGTCTCTCTTTTTTTTTTTTCCCTCAAAGACACCGCGGTTTAACAGGTAGCAGGTCGGTCAGGAAAGTTTGGTCGCGCCGCGATTACTGACCCTGAAGACGCGCCCCGCGGAATGCGGAAAACAAGGCGGGGAAGGTCAATAGTTTCGCAATCGTCAGGCGATCGTCTGGCGGCGGCGTCCGATCGCTGAATCCAATATCGAATCGAAGATCGCGTTCATCTGTTGCGCCCCCATTTGTACCCCGGATCAACCGCACCGCTGCAATACACGCGAGATAAAGAATGCATCGCGCCCCGGCCGCGCTTCGGCGGCGGTGCACCGCGGGATTTATCGATCCCGCTGATTTATCGCCACTCCGCTCGTTAATTACGATAACTCAACAATTCGCGTTTCCCATCTTCCTCGCCATCTGTCCGTTTTCCTCTCTTTTTTTCTTCTTTTTTTTTTTACAACGCGTTCATCATGGGTGTTATCGCCGGAGGCGGACCCCTACGTAAAAAGCGATCGAATTCAGGCCCGCATTCTCGTGTCCCATCGTTTAGCACTAACTGTGGCCGTTTAATCCTCGAATTCGAACACTGTATGTCGATAGAGAAAAACTGCATTCGGCGCCAAATGCGGGGTAAGAATCGGGTTTAATGTTATCGATCACGTTGCGTAACGTTACTTGGATGTTCGCCAATTTTTTTAACCACAAATATCGCATGCATACATATCTATTTTGCCAATTAGTTATCGCGGGAATATGTGTATACATCATTTTTGCTTAATTTGTATATCCATATATTTCGTATAATGTAATGTATAATGTAAAACCTAGGAAATTATATAATATAAATATATCTATATAATAAGGGAAAGAGAGAGAGAGAGAGAGAGAGAGAGAATACACAGGAGGATATTTTCCGAATACTATTATATACTACTATATTATCGAATACTATTATATAATACTATAATACATTGTTGTGCTGATAAACTTCTGTTTGGTCATTCTCCCGCACGGATATCTTACATCCTGAAAAATTATCAGACGCGATCTTAGAGATATCCATTTGCGATTGCCGCAGTCTTCTAATTGCTCCCCATCCTCCTCCCACCCTGCGACCGTGTTTCCTCCCTGTAACGCGATTAATGTGATTTTCTGCTCCCCGGGGATTCAATGTGTGTGTGCAGTTTCGCCGGTGCGCGCGCGGAACGAACAAAGTCAGGGAACTCCGAAGGAGCAAAGTCCTCGCAACACGGCCGGGTCGTTTGGATGTCGTACAAATTGGCGGACCGCCAGATTTCCGCACTCTCGCTCGTTCGTTCGTTTGTTTCACTCGCTCGCTCGCGCGAGTATCGCGTTCCCCGTTTGCATTCGCGTGTGAGCGCCTGCATGTGTGCCGCGTGCGTATGCACATGTGTGTGTGCATGTATATGTGATTTGCTTCCGCCTGCGACGATATCTAAGCGCCACATGTGCTCGCCCGAAACCTCAACATGTTCACGCGTCGTCGTATTTCACTCGGCGTTTACGCTCTCGTCAGAAATACAACATTGAAATTCGCAAAAACGCTCAGTGTATTCCGTCGAACGTTCAAGTCGTCCTCGTATCATCGGATCGTTACTCAAGAGACATATACACACACACACATACACAAGAAGAAACTCGATGCACGCTTGTGCACATTTCAAGTCAGATCGACACCCCTTCGTTCCCTTCCGTCGAGATAGTTTCCTCGGATAAATAGAAATCAGGATCTAATTTGACAGAAAGTGACACATGCCTCATATCGTGTAATCCTCGTATTTAGAGCTCTTCGAGATACCAAAACGTCGGCCGAGATCAATGACTTTATTGGCCGGCGTAACGCAAAGGACAAGAAAATGGCTCGTAAAAAGCACCACGGTGCGATGCCGTAAATCGCCGGCTGTAATACTGAAATCGTGATATAATAAGAACGTCCACATTAGTCTATATTTACGATAAATCCGTCCGTTATGATCTTATCGACCGTCCGATAACGGAACGGCGGCTCACGCGTGATAACGCGCGCGCCACGGCTTCTAGAAATCGTAATTCGGCTACCTTTGTTACACCCGTGGCATTCTCATCCCGTCGTAAACGGCGCCGTCGAGTCGTCGCGTCAGAAACCCGGGAATTATGCGTTTTTCTTCTTACCCGAAGTGAATTTGCCTGCCACGGCAAATTGAAAAACTAGGGAGACCGCCGCCGTCACGCCGAACGCAAAAAGAACACGGCGTCGCGACGCATCGTGAATGCCCGATGAAGAAGATCGGCGGCGACGTACGCGGCGCTATTTTATTATTGACCAAACGCCGTCGGAGTCTGTAATCATTGACGCCTCGCGTAATTGTACGGCGCTTCATGATGAGGAGGCACGTATTGCCGACCGCAAGGCGAAGGCCAAGGTTTGCGATTGTTCGACGGAAATAACGAGCGAGACGTTTATCACCTCATAGGGGTGGATAAACCGATCTCGAATCGATACGATACGATAATCACGACAGCTCTTTCTGTCGTAGAGGGGAACGTTACGGTATTTCGCGAAGCGCTACGCCACGACAGCCGCGAATTCGCGTCACCGTAATGTCAAGTTTGTAACATCCGTGTTGACGAATAAACACGATCTACCCGTCACTTGAATACGCGATCGGATTTTCAAATTTTAACAAACGTAACTCCCGACCGTGTGACGACTTCGACGTACGAATTTCAAGGTATTTGCCGGAGATGAGTCGACTACGAACTTGGTTCCGAGCCCGAGTAGATGCGAAAAGTGGAAATCCGGGGAAATCCGTCGCATTCCGATAGACCGATCTCGCGAAGAGAGCCCGTCTCTTTCCCCCGTCCCTTCCTTCGTTGTATTTTAGCATAAGCGTTTTATCGTCGATACCGTCACGGATTCACCTGTTGAGGATAACCAACTTTCGCCATTACGAATGCACGCTAATCGGCAGTCGCACCGGATGAGGGACGCCATAAAGTTTTCCAGTGATGCGTGCATTCCGCGACGGCACTTCCTGCAAATACCGTAACCGGGAATAGGAAATCACGCGTAGACCGGCGTATCCTCGAAGGGAAGGTATGCGAACGACTGGAATAATCGTCGAGGCGGATTGCGGATTCCGTTGACGCTGACGCGCGTTAAACCGCGCTATTTCTCGCAGCGGCTCTCGCGCGCACCTGCCCACATCGCGTAACACGCATTAAATCTTTGAAAGGACGTTGCGTGGGTAATGTGGAGCGCGCCGGTGAATGGAGCGAGCGACCGACCGACCGGCTGGTCGTACGCGAAATGGTGCTGAGCATAAACAACATTAGCCGACGTGTAAACTACGTGTAATCTGTCTTTTTGCGCGTAATCTGTGTTCCTAGATAACGAGAGTTATCCCGACGCGCGTGCACGTGTGCGGGAAGATATAGTCCTCGTATCTCTTCGTTCCAATATAGAACTCGTGCGTAGACTTTACGTGTTTAATGTTGAGATATTGTTAACCTCTCTTTCTTTCCCTTTCTCCCTCTCTCTCTCTCTTTCTCTCTTTTTCTCTCTCTTTCTCGGTTCTTCGGTTACAAGCAATTAAACGAAGCACGAGTAAGATCTCGCGAATCTAATTACTTCTCATATATTCTTAATCGAAGTTATTTTATTATTACACGGAAGATAATTCAAGATTTGTATTCTCACATATATAAGCAAGAATATATGGTTTTCTATGAAGATAAAACTCTTGCTTGCATGAAAGAATTCCGCATAGTTCCATTAAAAGTATCATATTCTTGTTATTCAAGAATAATTGCCATTAAAAAGAAGAAATATTGGAAATATAAACAATATTTTCAAATTGATACAATTAGTTGAAAGACAGTCGTTCTTTTTACCCAATATTTTTTTACTTTTAATTCATGAAAATTATTCTTGAATTACAAGAATATGATATTTTTAGTGGAATAGAATGTCTTCAGATATAAACAAGTTTTATCTTCATATAAAATTGCATATTCTCGCTTATATATAAGAATATGAGCCTTGTATTGATACCAGTTTTTTCTGTGTATATTGGAAATGTTTATTCGAGGTCTCAATTGTCGTAAAAAGTGAAAATTAGACAGAAAGGAGCGAAAAAAGATGGCATGGTTGAAAGCGATGGAG